AGCTTTACGGTTTCTGGATCCCTCCGACTTGCAGCTTTATATATTGGTGTATCTCCAGAACTATTTCTGCAGTTGACTTCGATGTCTTTGTGGCTAAGGAGTAGCTTTACGATTTCTAGACGCCTCCGACTTGCAGCTTCATGTATTGGTGTATCTCCAGAATTATTTCTGCAGTTGACTTCGATGTCTTTGTGGCTAAGGAGTAGCTTTACGGTTTCTAGATACCCCAGACTTGCAGCTATATGTATTGGTGTATCGCCAGAATTATTTCTGCAGTTGACTTTGATGTCTTTGTGGCTAAGGAGTAGCTTTACGGTTTCTAGATCCCCCCGACTTGCAGCTATATGTATTGGTGTATCGCCAGAACTATTTCTGCAGTTGACTTCGATGTCTTTGTGGCTAAGGAGTAGCTTTACGGTTTCTAGATCCCCCCGACTTGCAGCTATATGTATTGGTGTATTGCTAGATTTATTGCTGCAGTTGACTTCGATGTCTTTGTGGTTGAGGAGTAGCTTTACGACTTTGGGTAGTTTTGAACGAACAGCATATTCAAATGCAGCGAGAGCGCTTATGTGTGCGTGTTCGTCTGCTATAAAAAGGTTTAACATCCGTTCGGAGCCGTACTTAATTGCATATTGCCATGGTGTTTTACCCCTATCTCCTTTCACGATATTTGGATTCGCCCCAAAAACCAATAGTAATTCGACAAAGGCATCGTGTCCACACCTTACAGCATAGTGTAGAGGTGTGCAACCCTTTGCGCATTTCCTATTGGCGTTTATTCCCGTGTAGGATAATAAGCGGTTCACTATTGGTTTGTGCCCTGCTGTTACTGCTCGATGTAGCAGTGGCATTGCTCCTTTGTTGATCCAGCTCTCCTCAAAATGTTTGTTTTCAGGATTCCCCGACGAATCTTTGTCGTGTAGGGCGTAGTGAATGTGTTCGTTGGCCACACGTAGCAGTATCTCCAGGGCTTCTGGGTCACCGTTGATAACGGCTTCATGTAACGGAGTTTCCTTTTTCTCATTCAGCTCGAAAACGCTTGCTCCCTGACCTAGTAAAAACTTTAGCATCTCTCTCTGCCCAGCTCTTGCTGCACAATGCAATGGCGTCGACCCGTCATCTGCCGTTGCTGATAGTTTGGCACCTATTCCGAGGAAATATTGAAATCCCTCTATGTTACCGGTGCTAGCAGCTTGTAGCAGTCCCAGCCGGCAGGCCGTTTCGATATCATCCGTCACAGAAACCCCGACTACAGACTCAGACCGAGACGTTTTCTCGTTTCGGGAGAGGCCATGCGCTTCGCGCATATGTTGCTGCAGATTGTCCATACGGGTTGCCCCTTTGAAGGTGCATGTGCTAACCTCGCAACGATATTTGGGATTCCCCACTCGATGGCGGTACTGCATATGCCGAGAGAGGTCTCTCCGGAGTGCAAAACCTCTTGCACAGTGCTCACATTTGTAAGGCTTTGTGTGAGTCTTGCAATGTTGACTAGGAAGAAGGTTAGAATATATCTGTGGCGAGGAAATTCAGAGCATTACTTGTACTTCCCGAGAGTGTTGAAAGATTTGGGACAACGTTCACACCGGAAAAGAGTGATTGATTCCATGAGTCGTCGCGTTTAACTCAAGATTGCGAAAGTAGTGGAGTACGTTAGAGATTCTAAGGCAATCTGCTAATTTATTCACATGCTTTGGGCTTGAACAAAGAAAGTGAATGTGGTGTTGATGCGCTATGACTAGCTGGTAGTTTTCCGAGAAAGGTGGGCGTAAATGGTCGACTGCATTGGTCGCCCTGTTTGTAGCGAAGGCCCAGCCTCCACGGAAATATCGTCTCCCAGCGCTCAAGCTGTCTGGCCTGATATGAAGGGAGGAGCCTCCCGTATGAAATTTTATTTTCTCTCCCCTCTTTGACTCGGCCTGATTCCATTCCGATCCCTTTCGCAACTTCTTTCAAGTATCGCTATCTCCCTTGATTCAACGACCTTATTCACTTCTACAAAACGATTCCGCCGATTCATCCACTACTGCGCGATGGAGAGCTCAGAAGTACCTAATCGACACGACAATAACTCGAACTCTATGTTCGTCCTGGAGAACTTGTGGCCAAGGTAAACTTTTTTTTTTAGGCTAACGCAATTATGCCTTTTTTGTGTCCAGCAGCAAAAGTCTTCCTGCCACGTCGGATGTGGCTTTTTCGATCCCAAACGCCACAAACGCTGCCGCCAATCAACACCAGGGAGATTACGATCCTCCAGGCTTTCTCAAGCCTTTCGAAGCTGGCCATTCATCGACGGTGGGAGCTGATCCTGGGCACGATGGTCACTTCAACTCCGTCGGCCTTGCCAGCTTTGAATCCTATAACACGTTCCTTAACGAGCTACCGACGACCATTAACTCACAACCGTGGGAAAACAGTAGCTCCTTCTCTCAACCCGGAGGACATGGACAGGACTTTCTTGACAACCCTTTGACTGGATTTTCAAACGAAACTGTGGTCCTTGAGAACCTATCATATGGATTCCCGAGCTCCCACATGCCAGACATGGGTGGATATACCATGGGCAGCAATAGCGCGGGACTCGTTCCAGCCCATCAGAGCAGAGCCTCAGCCTTGTTTGCTCAACCAAGTCAGCTGCCACTCGCCCCGTTGCCAGCTACCAGCGCTGCTGACTCCAAGGAGGACCGTATTCCTTGCACTGCCCCTGGCTGCCGCAAAAGCTTCCGCCGCCCAGGAGACTTCCGGAGGCACCTCAAAATACACGGCGACCCAGACTTTCGCTGTATTATCAAGAAATGTCCGAAGACTTTCACTCGTCTCGATAAGCTCAGGGATCACGCCAAAGTTCATGGGATCAAACTTTGATGCTTCCCTGTTGTGATGGTGAAGGTCCAACAACACTGGTAACTGGTCTGTGGAATGAATACCTTTCTTCAGCGGAGGATTTCATTGCATACTATCTTTTCTTGGGGAACATTATGCACTCGCTCCGCTGGAACTTCTGGTTCGTCCATTCTTTATGTATGCCAATATATCTGGTGGATTTGTTTTATAATCCGCTTCCATTGTTCGATTATTTGTCGCACTTGTGAACTCGGGCGAAAATCTCAAATCAGTCAGTCGCGCTCTCAACCCTGGTCTAAGGATTTGACTGTTGGGCGACTTGCAGATGTGGCACTTGGAGGTCATTACTGATTGGGCAAATGCGCCCTTCTCTCGATGAGAGAGAATGATTAGGCGACTGTTCCCCGTTCTTGATTAGAGAGAAATGATTGGACAATTGTGCCCTGTTCTTGATTAGAGAGAAATGATTGGGCGACTGTGCCCTTGATTCGAGAGAAATGATTGGGGGAGTGTGCCCTTCGGGTCTTGCAGCCTTTATGTGAGTCAAGAGGGAAACCAGTGGAATCTGTGGTCTGGGCCAGGGTAGTTCAGGCAGTTAGTTTTCGTTATATGAGCCTGGGCCGATAGATATTGAGTGAATATGAAGATCACGTGACCTCACCTCATCGCCCATGTCCCACCTAAACTCCATAAAAGTTTGGCGGTTACTGAAACTCTAAATTCGTAACTATGTGAGTAAGTCTTGTCCAATCTTATTAGTGGACCCTGTTGTTAGACTGCTCCCCTTCTACGAGCCGCACTTCAGGTCCGACAGATACAGTCAAAGCTCAGCCTATGTAATTACCTTGAACCACCTTCCGAATACCACTTCCTCTATCGCCTTATCCTTGTAGCTTTCTATACAACCTGACGGCCTGACTTTGAGTTCATGCCAATCGACGATGGTGCATCAAGTTAAGAACTAAATCTGGCTTAGCCCGCCTAAATGACGGACCCTGCATGATCTTCACGAGGGGGACGTCACTGCCAAGCATTTCATCATACCCCTCTTGAGCGGAGTCCTCCATTGCTCCGCAAAGTAAACTGACTTTCCTCTTGCTTAAAATTAAAAGCATTAAGAAAAGGCTTTTCTGGATATTCGTGTTGTTTAGTAGACCGCACTTTCAAGTTGGTACAGTAGGGTACAATCGAAAGGTATGTTTGCGGAGATGTCCTTTCTTGTGGTCTGATTTGTCAATCAGGAAACTGCACACCCCTCAACTAGCAATATATATTGCGTACATAAAGAACCTCGCGCTTTCCAAACTCCTACGTCTTCAATCCCTCTCAACGACTATCTGATTCTTTGTCGAACACCTTTTCTTCACTATGCGCGACGCACATCAATCCAGCTTCCTTCCCTTGTCACAGGGCACATTTACCCCCGCCACGCCGTCCGGCCTCACGCCAAACACTCGCTCCGAAGCAGAAGCTGCACTCACCCACAACAGCAGCGCGCAAACCGACTCCGCTGCCCCTATCCCAGCCCACCCTCCGGATGAGAACGCCTCCGTCGAAGTCGGCCCTAGCGGTAGCAACACCCAAGCTTCAGATCTCGATGACGGTATTGAGGATGCAAAGAAAGCGTATCGCCGACCGCCGGGGCCGATCAGAACAAGCTCAAAGAACTACGAGAACGCATTGAGGGAAGCACACAAGAACGCTTCTGCGTCATCGAATCTGCCGATGGATACCGTTGCAGAGAATATCACGGGAGTGAGGACGTCGAGTCCAGCGTCGACGATTATGCCATTTCCACCGCCGGGCCAGGGGGTCGTCCCACTTCTTTCGGGGGTTGGTAGTGGTCAAGCGAATGCAGTGAAGAGGGTGGTGCCGACAGGTTTGAGTTTGGGCAATCTGGGTAGAAGCCAGAGCTGGAACGAGCAAGATATGAAACATGTGTTCAGCGCTAACTTGATGGTAGAGGTACAGGGAGATCCCGGATATGCATCTGGGGCAGAGGAGAGTGGTGTTGGGCCGGTTTGATGTGAGCATGGCATGCTGTAAGTTCTGGGGCTTGATTGTGAAGCTATTTGGTGACGAAGCTTGACTGAAGAGTATATGGACGAAGGGTGGTGAAAACTAAGACAAGCCTTGACTGACTAGGTTGCCATGAGGTATGAAGCTATTGTGATAGACTAGGGAAGGCGGCATTGCTTTGGTATTTGATATGGGGAGATGGCATACAGATGAGGATAAATGAATTCTCATTTGTATCTATAGACTGTGACTCCTGCCTGTCTACGCCATATGAACCTCGTTGTAAGACCTAGAATGACCCACTCCTCGAGCCATTCATCAAACTAATGTTCCTCTTCTCTCATAACCGTAGGCTGAATGCATGTCCCCGATGAATCCAATTATGAAGGTCCAGTGGTCGCAATTGAAGCCACGGAAGCTACTTATGGCACCAACGCTTACCGCAAGGGCCGTCCTTACCGCACTGAGGAGGACCATGAAGACAAGTGTCGATGCGGCACGGCTCTATGCACCATGGCTGGTTGGGACCACACTTCATTGCGCAGTCTCCGTAGAACCAGTTGCAGTCATTACAGTGGTTCGGGTCCTTGGCATCAACCGCAACTTCAGCATCATCGCGTCGATCACGGTGGAGACAGACGTGACAATCCGTGCACTATTATCGTGTTAGGAAATTGGGGCAATCATAGTCCCATGGATTGTGGAAACTTACGTCTGAGAATTTCTGGCACATTCCGACGTGGCACTCTTGGGCTTGGTCCTGAGGCAAGTCGTGTTGCTTCAGGGAAGTTAGCATCGCTTTGTTTGTTCATCGGAAGGGATTTGGAACTAACATGCATGCAGGTGGGAAATTCGTCCTTGCAAGCAACGCTGCATTTGCTGTTGGTGGTACCATCGTCCGGGATGGCGATGGCAGTGATCAAGGGGAGAAATAAGAGGGTCAATTGAAGGAGATTCATGTTATTGGTGGATTGGAGTTGTATGAAGAGGTTGGGTGGGTTGAAAGGTGGAGTGGAAAAAATATGTCGTAGAGGTGGAAGCGGAGTGCTTATATAGTGTCGAGGGAAAGAGACTAAAGACCTGGATGACGGAGCTGCATAAGTTAGCGGGTATTTTTTTTTTTTTAAATGATGTCGCTGTGTTACTTCCCACATGAATTAGATTCTCTGGAATGACCTGGTGATTGAGCGGAGTCGTCTCCCTCCTAGGCCTGGGTATGTAAGTCACAAGATCAAAACTAGTGCATAGTCAGTGATCACTTACATCTTAAAAGAAAAGAGTGGCCTGCGGTGAATCCCAGGGTATCAGAGTTGTGGTACTAGAACGACACGAAAGTTGCCTCTAGGCATCGTGCCTCAACTCCGTTCATGTTAACTATGACTGTGTACACAGACTAACCAGTAAGATGGGTTTTGCTAGAGGTTGTTATCTCCTCGGCGGCCTTCATATTCTCGGCAAGAAGAAGGATTGGTGGCCTGCCCTCTAACCTAGGTCTGCGGTGGGCGGAAGTATGCTGAGTCCCTTGGAGAGGAGGTTGAAGATTCGCCGTGTTCTCAGCGGTCTTCGGATGGTAATCTTAACGTGTAAGATGCTGTTGCTGGGTATTTCGTGATTTATAGAGCATTGGACTAAGTAATAAACTGTTATCAACCAATAGGAAAAGATCGAAGTCACCCTTACTGAGGGGTTAGAAAGACGTGATAACTGCGGATAGCCCAAAAGAAACATGATACCGTGGGGAAGGACTAAGCTGAACCCCGTTCATAGTCTACCAGCCACCGAAATGCTCCAATACAGGAGTAAACTGCGTCTACTTACCGTATATTTGGAGGGACATGGCCCGTCTAGTTGCAACAGCGCCGTCTTTCTAGCGGCTGAAATCTAGACTCCGACATTCATTCTGGACCAATTCTCCCCTACATATTTTGCGCAACGGAGCTAGTTCCTCTACCCGGTTCACTGCCCACACACACGCTCTCTGCTTCTGGACATAAGCTGAGCACGCAAAATTCGGTTCCGTCTTATGGGCTAGAAACTTTGACTTCACCAGCCGAAGGTGGAGGCACCGAGTAGCGTTCATAATGGCTAATTTTGGGCTCTCTAAGAATTTGGACGGAACAACGAACCTCCTCTAGCATATTAAGAAACTTCTTGGTACGCTGTAGGCCCCTAATCGAAATCTCTAAGCACTTCAATCCGCTAATAGAAATGCTAAGAATCTGTTCTGCTGCGTCTAACTTGGGGCTAGAGACACTATCCTCTTTCTGTTAACTGTTTTAAGTAAGGGGCTGAGAGGAGCATATCCCGTCTAAAAAGAAATGCCTGAAATGCTACAGAGTACCTACGTCCAAGGACTCAAAGACACAGGGATGCCGCTGTTGCACTTCGAGTCTCTACAAGTTTTTTTCCTTCAGATTTTTGATTCTTTAAGCGGTAAGTTGGATAGAGGCAAACATTACTAGAATATATATACTCCATTCGACCACTAACTAGAAAGGAGGGAAATATTAACAGGATACAAGTTTTTAGCTAGAAGTACCCGCTGGGATATTCTTCGTTCAGTGGTAAGATACAGTGCAGCCGCAACAAAGGTACTAGTTCGCTACCTTGAAGAAAAAGGGAAGTTTCTCAGGAAGCCTATGTGACGGAATAGTGGGGTAGCGGGGCAACGCTTTCAAAAGCCGCTGCAAGGGGCGTATAACCATCAGAACAAAGTCCATGATACCATAAGTCGCTGTCGATGAAGTGTGCTCGAATGCAGTTGTTCGGGGTTGTATGGATTCGCTAGGTACAACAACCAGAAAAGAAGGAACACTATACACATCGACCACATCTAGCAACAACCCACACCTCAAAACCAAGATTTTCCATATTTCTCAAATGATAGCAATACATCAAGCTGGCAAGAAATTCCCGCATTGCAATAAGAGATCCCATACCCGACCCTAACCTACCGCACCCACGTTGCGTGTTTCATTCCCCAAGTTCCATCGAGGTATACCAATGTGCGCACTCAAAACGCCATTCCCATATCAACAGTAAACGCCATGATGAGCACATCAACACCCTTACTCCTACTTCCCTCTATTGATGGACCTGCCCACCCTGAGCCGGCCCACCCCACTCACTCTCATCATCGCTGCCAACATCTGTCCAGCTACTCGGCGTCATGACACCCAATCTCCTCTCATCACCACCGCTCACTTCGCTGAACCCAGCCTCGCTGACTGCCGCATCCGTGAACCCTCCATCGGAAAATGCTTCCGACCGAGCGTCATGGTCGTCGTCGTTTTGCAGGGAGAGAACGGCGATGTCGTCGGCGTGACTACCGACCGAAGCGCCAGTGAAGATGGAGTGTTCGGAGCGAGGGGTTAGAGTTCCGGTTGAAAGGTGTTCGGCGTCGGAGTCGTCATCCGCTGGGATGAGGACGTGAGAGTGGGTGGAGTTTTGCATGGAGCTGGAGGAGGCGAAAGAGTAGAAGGATTGTGCTTGATCATAGGTGTGGTCGTAGTCATGGTCGCCGACTTCGGATGGGGGGATAGATGCTGTCTGCGGATTCTCAGGCCCGAGACGCGGCGAGTCTGGTGAGAAGTCGATTAGTTGGCCGGTCGTAGAGGACGCTGGAATATCGCCCTGGATGGTGACTGAGCTTTCGCGGGATTCAATGTACTGGAATGGCTTTGGAGAAGGGGCTTCGTCGTCGTCGTCGTCGTTGTCCTGGTCAAGCAGGATTTGAGCATTGTCATCAGTAAAGGGATTCGCAGCAGCAGCTCCTGCGTCGAAGCCAGCCACGCCTCGCTTCCGCAATCCGTTATCTGCCGACTCAGCACCAGTCGCCGTGCCAGCCGCTGTGTCCGTTTTCAGCATGCCGTCACTCCCCACCAAGTCGTCAAAGCTCCGATTACTCCTCGGCCTTTGCCTGTGCAACTGCCTCATCTCCGCCACCTCCACCTCCTCCCTCCCGATCCTGGCCAACTCATCCAGGTCCACCGCAATGCCCTCCTCTCTCGCCCTCCTAATAAGCTCGTTCTTATTCCGCCTCATCAGCTCATCCCTCTTCCTCTTTCTCGCCTCATAATCATCTGAGGCTTCCGACGGCCGACGAGGCTGTATCTCGTCTCCAAGCGAATGTAGGGCAACAGCGATCTTACGACGGGATTGGTCGAGCCAGGCGCGGACTTGCGGGGACTCATATATGGCGATACCGGCGGCGACGACGACTGAGGCGACAATGATGAGGCCTGTTTGGAAGGGGTGAGCAGGCCGGGGAATAGGTCGGGAGTGAGGGGATGGAGAGTGGGTGCGACCAGACCCTGCGAGCAGGTTGGTATCGAACAGGGGAGCAATAGATAGGACGGGTATTGCCCGACGGAGGCAAGACATGACGGAGAGTTCGGCTTACCTTTGGCCAGTGGCGCAGGCATAGTTGTAGCTTGCGCTGTTTAGCGGTCTAGTACGGATCTAACCTGCGTGGAGTCTAATGTGAAGGAAGATACTGAATGTAGGTGTCCGGAGTCGAGGGGAACAAAAAGGATACTGCAGCCTGGTGCGGCGTGCGAGGTTACGTGGAGAGAGGGAGGATGGAGTCGTATGTGAACCGCCACCCCAAGCCCGAGCTCATGGCCGGCTTTCCATGGTGGGGCGAGGGGCGCGTGCGTTGCTTGGCCCGCGCTTACAATAGTAGCCCTTGCGAATATCATTCACTCCGGAATCGGACGAGGTTCCGCCGCTGGTTGAAACAAGAGGAAACAATATATTTATCCCCCAGAGTCTTATTCCGGAATTTGAAGCAAAGGCTCAAGAGGCTGTTCGTTGCGGCATCCCCCGCTAGAAATTGGAATATCTCACGCACATATCGGTTATGGCTGCTAAAGGCTGAGAGAGGGGGGCTGAACCGAGGCTGAATTCTGAAAGTAAATTCCCGTCGTCCCTAATGCTGTCTATCTCTAGATAATTTCCAGGCATCCTCCAAAACGCCAAAAACGAATGCGAAGGTCTTGATAGAATATCCCAACGACGAGCCTCAGGCATCGCGATGTCCCTGATGCTCTACCTCGTCTCTCCGTTTCAATACGTGCTCGTGATGGATCCCCCACAGACACGCTAGAATGCCTAGAAAGCTAGATGCGAAGGTCACATAGTAGGCCGCTTTGTAGCAGTTCAGCCCCTCGGAACAGCTTCGTTCCCCGCTGGGCTGGACCTCTGAATGAGCGTCATATATCGCGCCGTAGCATAGGTTGTAGATGTTTCCGCTCGTGACAGGCGCCAGCGTCATGAATCCCCAGTTGACTGCAAACCCCCCGGCGCCAAATGCATCTGCGACGAGTGTTGGGAATACGCCAAACAGAATTCCGTACGCCAGGCCAGACAGTCCAGAGACAGCCCAGAGGAGGTTGGGGTTCTCGATCTGGATGGCGGCTACTTGGCCCAACATGAAAACTGTTGCTGAAACGGCAGCACACCAGAATCGCGAGCCGTGGAGTTTCTTGACGATAATGTCGGATCCAATGCCGGACGACAGTCGTCCGAGGAAACTACAAACAGAGATGATGGAGACATGCATGAGCTGACGATGAGCAACAAAGTCTTTGTTCGCCGTGTCGTCGTAGTGATTCCACAGGGCTTGGACGTCATGGCCGATGTTGCTTCAATTCATTAGCGCCGACTCCGCTTAAACACGTGATCTGCCTACTTGATTGTCATCAACCCCACACCTGTCAACAGACCCATGACAGTCCAGAGATGCCAAAATTCAATCTTGTAGAGTAAGGCCAAGCCAGTAACATCTAGCCACTGTGAGTTCTGTGCCGAATGGCTCCTAGCTTCATCTTCGGGCGGGATGTCCCCTGGCCCTGACATGAGAGAAGAATTCTCGTCTGCATCACCATCTTGTTCGTCACTGTCTGCTAAGAATGTGGTTGGCAGCTGACAAGGGGCGCAGACAAGAGAAAGAAAGACGGGGCTTACTTGGCTCTGGTTGGGGAATCGAGGAGCTGCTGTGTTTGCTTCCATTGGATTTTGTTCTGTGGAGGAGATTGGAGTCTCGTCGAGGTCGTTCGGTAGTGGGAAGTGCTGAGTAGGCCGAGGGGTGGTCGACAACATGGAGGAAGGGTATCGACACTAGTACAAGAAGGGAAGTACCCAAAGAAAGAAGGAGCAGGTATCCGGAAGTATTTCCGGGGAAGGCAATTCCAGATATGACAGTATAGAAGAATGCGCTCAAGCCAAAGGCAGCCAGTGGAAAGGCCGTTGCCGTCCCGCGGTGTTGTGGCCAGTTAAGGGTGGCTGTGAAATTAGCTCCGAACCGTGGAAACAACAGATCCGTTTCTCACCTGTCTTCAGAGCCCCTTGAAATGCAGCACAGCTGCCTACACCCGTCAAAAAAGAGCAAAAGGATATCAACGCTACGCTCATCGAACCGGCGCCCTTCTGGAAAGCTACTCAAATCAGTACTCAAATCAGCGGGCGTTGTGCATTTCCATAGTCAGCCATACCGGTATGAATTGGGAAATATCCAATCGCCAGAGCAAACATGCCTATCACAGCGGCCAGACGAGGGCTCTTCCTGTCCGTGATCAAACCCATGGGAATCCCCGAGGCATACATGCCAATGTTGGCGGACGTGCCCTGCAACAGTTAGGAAACCTTGGGTGTAGAGAGCGGGGAGTGGTACAATGATATTGCTCTGCGTCGCAGAGAGCTGCAGCTTCTCGGCGAACTGGGGTGCCCATGCCGAGTAGGCATACTGTAGGAGGTCAGAATATGGGGGACGGCTGGTGGCGGTGTCGGACCCACGTTTGTCCCACATGCCAAAGAGATGGCCGTGGCGGCGACGACGGAGACTACGCGTGTCTTTCTGCGCGTCTGTTCAGACATGATGGTCATGGCCGCTCGAGGGAGCGGAGGACTCTATATTGTTAGGGAGATCATCGAGATAGGGGATGGGTTGATATCGGGCCAGAATTGCCGAGACCAGGGACTTGTGATGCAATTGCGCGTGGTCAGGAGATTACGAAGCCGCCTTGAGGACGAAAGAGTCACGTCAGGGAAGGTTAGGACGAGCGGCGAGGAGAGTGAACACTCGGGAATTAGCACTCGATATTGGGTGTGGCTGAGAGTGCATGAAGCCGCTGGTCATGAAGCCGCTGGTCATGAAGCCAGTCCGCCTGATTCACGAGATAAGCCGCGCCAAGCCGGTTACATAAGCGCCGAGGTATGTAACTAATGTTAGTAAACGGTCAGTCAACGTCACCAGGCCTCTCAACCACGACCGCGACAACGACCGCGACCTCGACCTTCCTCCCTCCACCTCTATCCTCAACGCCAACGCCAACACCAACCATGGGTGCCTTATTGTCTATTCCGTTTCTCGCGCTGCCGAGCATGGGCACAGTATGTCTCTAAATAATACCATGTCTCTCCAGCTAACATTCGTAGGTATGGGGCCTTGCCGCCTCGTGCTGTGGAGCTGCTACCTGCAGTGCCGTCTTCAGCTCATGTGGGAAGTGTGGGAACAGGTGTGCCTGGCCATGTCTCTGCTATGAACTGAGTTGCTGATATCTGTCTAGCATCGCCACTCGTATCGCCTACGCCCTCATGCTCCTCATCAACTCGATCGTCTCATGGATCATGCTCACCGACTGGGCCATGAAGAAGCTCTCCCACCTCACCCTCGACTACGTCGACATCAAGTGTCATGGAGAGCAGTGCTACGGATATGTTGCTGTGCAGAGGATCAACTTCGCCCTTGGCTTCTTCCACATCCTCATGGCCTTGATGCTCATCGGAGTGCGCTCCTCGAAGGACGGCCGTGCGCCGATTCAGAACGGATTCTGGGGACCCAAGATCGTCGGATGGATTGCCATGGTCATCCTGACCTTCTTTATCCCGAACTCGTTCTTCATTACCTGGGGAAATTACTTTGCCTTGGCCGGCGCTTGTCTCTTCTTGCTCATCGGTCTCATTCTGTTGGTAGACTTGGCGCACAACTGGGCCGAATACTGCCAGGAGAAGATTGAAGTCACGGAATCGAGAGTCTGGACTGGGCTCCTCGTTGGATCCGCCGTGATCATGTATCTGGCCTCCTTCGCCATGACCATCGTCATGTACATCTTTTTCGCCCGGGGCAAATGTTCCATGAACCAGGCAGCCATCACAGTAAGTCATTCCCTGTTAAGCCATGATTCAATCTCACGTGTCCAGATAAACCTGCTCCTGCTTCTGATTGCATCTGTTGTGTCCATCCACCCGGCCGTCCAAAGCGTCAACCCCCGAGCTGGCCTCGCCCAGTCTGCCATTGTCGCAATCTACTGCACGTACTTGACCATGTCGGCCGTTGGCATGGAACCAGACGACCAGCAATGTAACCCTCTAATTCGCGCTCGAGGCACCCGCAAAGCCACAGTCATCATCGGCGCCATCGTTACCTTCATCACCGTCGCCTACACCACCACGCGTGCCGCCACTTACGGCCTCGCCCTCGGCTCTCAGGGCAACTCATACAGCAATGGCAACGGCTATGCCCGCGTCGGCACCGAAGACTATGAGCACGGTCTCGTGACCCAACAACCCGAATCGCGCCGCGAAATGCGCCAAGCCGCCCTCCGCGCCGCCGTCGAAAGCGGCTCTCTCCCTGCCTCGGCTCTGGACGACTCTGACAGTGACGATGAAGATGAAGGCCCATCGAAGAACCCTCGCGACGATGAACGCAATGCAACGCAGTACAATTACTCCCTCTTCCATGTCATCTTCTTCCTCAGCACCGCATGGGTGGCTACTCTCCTCACGATGAATTTCGACGAAAAGGATATGCAGAATGACTTTGTGCCTGTGGGAAGGACGTACTGGGCGAGCTGGGCAAAGATTGTTAGTGCGTGGGTGTGTTATGGGATTTACATTTGGAGTCTGATTGCCCCGGCCGTGTTGCCTGATCGCTTTGATTATTGATGTGACAATTTCGTTGTGTTTTTGAATACGAGGGAAATCAAGTATGGAAGTTGGGGGAGTGGTTTTTATTTGAACATCAAACTACAGCCGAGGCTATGGAGTTTCTTTTGTGTATTAGCATGGAGAGTGTACGATAATAAAGTATACCCTGGATTCTAGCGGCTAATATTTGGACTGGGATTGCCCATGACAATCTAGCAAGACAGCTAGACAATTCGTGATGTCCTAAAACCTCCCCCTGGTAGACTTAAACTCGTTACCTAGTGTCAACACCCCATCCTATTAGCTTCAATTCCTAACGTCACATCAGCTCCATATATACCCTTTCACTATCAGCGAACTTGCTCATCTTGCGCGCTCCGCTCTCCGCTCCTCACGAGCAGCACGAGTCACATATTCCTCCCTCCGCTTGGCCATGCGCACCGCGTCTTCGAATCGCCATCCGCGTCCGCACACCAGGAACCAGACTAGTCTTTTATACGCGTCGTGGAGGTTGTTGTAGTCTTCTAGGATTTGGGCTCGCACGCTGACGAGGCTCTGTGGCGAGCAGCGGGAGCAACCGGCGTGGTCATGCACCCAGCGGGATGGTCGGGTGGCCAGGCGGCGGTGCGTGGTCGATGTGATGGAGATGATGGTGCTGGAGGCCGGGCTCGATTGGCGTCTCGGCATGGTGGTGGATGGACTTGAGGTTTGAGTTGTGGACGAGATTGGATTCGCAAGAATCAGTGTGCGGTGACGGTGAAGTTGATGGCGAGGTGGGATAGTTGGTAGTGGGCGACTGGGTTGGAGTGGTAGGTCTAGAACCGTGACGAATAGGAGTTGAGATGCTCAAACCAGGTCGTCTCTGGGTTATCTGCTACGGTGTTTTCGTGCGCGTTTCGCGATCTTAGTTGCTCGTGGTGATGGTAGTGTTAGTTGTTTACACCCTTTTCACTTTTTCGTCTTGTTTTTAGATCCCTTTGGACGGCCGCGACGAGAGGGAACTTCAGCGGCTGTAGTTAACGTCTTCTTGCTGAGAGAGCCAGGAGACCGTCCTTTACGGGTATTTGCAGGCAACTCTGTCGCTTTCTTCAGGACAGTCTTTTTCCCGACGGACTTCTTTATAGCTTTCACTTTTGACTTCGTCTTGCCAATTTTCTTAACTTCCACCACATCGTCCTCCCTCGTAATTTCATCCCCCAACCTCATCGTCTCCTCATCCAGTCCCTCTCGATCCGGAAAAATAGGTTCCCCCATCCACGTCAACTGAATATCCTTCCTCGCCCCAGCATCCTTATACTGGCCAGCATTCCTCCTCCTCTTCTTTCCATTCTCTTCAACATTCCACCCCCTGCCCTCCACCCCCTGTTCCACAGTATCCCCCTCCGGCAACAGGATCCGCGGTGTATATCTAACCGTGACACCCACGCCCTCAAGTCCCCTTTCGCCCGCACTCCGATTCCACAGAAATTGCTCTACCGTGCCTGTCCTTGAAACCTTGACGAAGCCCATGGGCCACCGATTCATACCCAGAGCTTCCAGTACTCCACGCGTGGCTTTTTGGGTAGTCACCAGCAGTCCCAACACATCCTTCTTCCGCCATTCCGCAGGTGTACCCTGAAACGCGCCTTCCAGCTCCCTGACATGCTTAGGCGCAAGTCCACAAGACCGTGCTTTACACTGCACAATTACTGGCAAAGGTTCAGGAAGCTGTGGAAGGATCCAATGGCCAATCAAGTCAATTCCGGCGTCGGACTTCCGTCCAGTGCGTAGGAGGGAAAAGCCGAGGCGGAGCAGAGAGAGTGCGGCGACATATTCGTAGTGGGTGCCGACGTATACAGTTTTAGAAGGTGAGAGGTTGACGCGGTTTGCGTACTCGAGGAAAGATGGGAGGGAATTGTGGTGAGCGGAGCCGGGGGTTATTATTATTTTGGGTAATTGGGCTGGGGTTGTGATAATTGTGGATGTTGAAATTGTGCGAAGAGAGTGAAAATGAGCCAGGAGCGGCCGAGCTTGCTTTAGGCATGATGACCGAAGCAGGGAGAGCATTACGGTGTGGGGAAGACTGGATGACAAATAAACATATTTACAAAGCTAAGGAGTGACGAATTTGAAAGGATATGGATGGGAGAGGTGAAGAGTGAAAGGACGTGAAGGAGACGTGAAGTCGCGTAAAGTTTCACGCCAAGCCGACGCGCTTGTTTAGCTCAGCCCTAAAACACCTTCAAAGGTGAAAGCTCTCTCGACCTCACAATATCCTAACCTATTCAGTCACATACAAACCTTCCTCGCTCTTTCTCACCTTCTCTTTAAATATCTGCCCTCTATAGCCTCTAAAATGGCAGACATCCTCACCCAAATCCAAGACGAACTTGATATGGTGCTCCCCTCTGTCACCCCTCTGCTACTCCAACTAACCCCACCAGCTCCTCCACCAAATGTCCTCTGTCCTCAACGTAATTAAAGACCGGGCCCCGTCCGCCCCAATCGCCGGCCAACCCCTTCTCCCCTCCTTCACCGAACACGACGCCCAACTCCAAACACAAACCACCTCCGCCTCCAACCAAACGCAAACCACAACTCAGCAATCTGGATCCACACAAGCCACCTCCGCATCAACACAATCCCGGCAGCCCTTCGTCGACGATTTGAAGGAGCTGTCGAGAGATTTGGTGTTGAAGGAACAGCAGATTGAGCTGTTAATAAGTCGGCTACCGGGAATTGGGACGAGCGAAAAGGAGCAGATGGAGAGGATGAAGGAACTGGAAAGGCAGCTTGAGGAGATTGAGAGCGAGAGAGTGGAGGCGGTTAAAGAGAAGGCGGCGGTACTGGATACGATCGAGGCTTTGATTGGTGGGGTTGGGGCAATGAGATAATAGGGGGGACTGTACTAGGAGAAGCATTGGGCGCATATGAAAGAGGAGCTAGATTTCCTTGCAAACTTTCATGGGCTAAGCGATTTGTAAATGCACTCCGCAGGAAATAGCAGTTCTTCAGTCAGCTTAATATGGAGTGCCTCTCGGAATACGCTGAGAGGACCAGCTCTGGCCAATGGTTTTTCCATTTATTAAACATGAGAGCATGACCAAAACGCATAATAGGCTGAGAAAGCCTACCTCCACCTATTGCTACGCTTGGAGAATATCCCATGAGTCTAAGGCTAGGAGGATCGCAATCTTCCCTTTCCTTCGCCCTTCCATGTCCTTGCCAACTCGCTCTTCCGTATTCAGAAGTTCTAACGCTTCAGCCCTGGATTCTTCAGTGATGCACTTATTCAACAAAATTCCAACCACTCGAACCTATTATTTCTCTCGAGTAACATTACACTGGAGTTCCGCGCCGATTACAATTTCACCCAGCGGCCTTTGCTTCTCAACGAGCGCCTTTTGCACATCAGGCCCAACTCTTGAGCCCACCAACTCCGCCAGCGCTGCCATAGCCGCTTCCTGCGCTCCGTCGAATCGCCTCGTCCTCGAGTCCTTCTCAAATTTCTCTTTAAAGAAATCCTCCTTTAATTGTTGCCCCTGACCTTCCACCAAATCCTCCTGTACTGTATCCTAGGATGTAACGAGAGGGACTTTTCAAACCGATTGCACCCCACAAATCTTGCGTGGGTATTGGAAGTGTGGTCTATATAAACTAGGGAATCTCATGTCTGTGATGCTTTGTACATACACAATCCTAGACACCAGGCTTGGGCACGAAAAGTGATTTCCAGGGAATCTGCTAAATCCAGAAGGAGCCCGAAGTCCGGCTTATTTGCGTCATTGAGACCGGGCGTATCAGCGATGAAGGAGTCAATGCTATTATGGGCGAGTCTCTAGGTCTGGAAGGCGATGTCTCTGATATAATCCTTAATTACAGAGTACTCTTGCTGAGACAAGATGAAAAATACTTATAGCATTCAACGGTACGCCATATAACTATCTCGACATTTCCTGTCGCTACTTTTGCAGATATGCTTCTTCCCACTCCAGCTCTTCCTAGCAGGACAACACACACCTTAGACTCAGAAAACTGCAGCCGGTTCTCCGCTGAAGTCGACCTATATCTATCGTCTGTTCAATCCTCTTGTCCCTAGTGCGACACGCAATCTCACACATATATTCGTACCATTGTCCGTATCTAACACAACAGTGTGCATTGCCGTCGTCAACTCCTCACACCCAATGAATCCCTCATGACCGGCACGTCCTGTTTCGCCCTCTCCTGAACTTGCTAATAAACTGAATATGTGCTTCCTTTTGTCCTTCTCGCTAATACTTGCTGCCGCCTTCCTGTATTTCTCTACTAGCACTTGAAGTTCCTTTAAATCAGGATTGTGATTATCTCCAACAGTCTTGAGGTTCCCTTCTTGCGCATCTGTAAGACTGGATGTGAGATGATACATGCCCAAGTACTACCCGCATTTTAGAAACGTCTTCAAGAAGATGCTGGTGCCCTGGGTCCATTGTGGATGCGTATGCAGACCTGGATGAGTAGCGTTGGCGATGATATCCTCTACCCTTGGTGGATTCATGTTTCCGGGCTGAAATTGAAGATAGCTGTGATGGTTGTCGGAGGACTGTCAAGGCGAGGGTGCAAGGTACAGCAGTATTTCAGCTGACAATTGCTTCTTCTGCGTTGGTTCCAATGTTGCCTGTCGGATGACCCAATCATAGTTTATTCTTAGAGTCAGTTTAGACAATTTAGTAGCTCAAACGCTAATTTCCGTGCACGTAAAGATCTTGATGTCATACTCGTCTTTCCCAAACAGTGAAGGATACAATCTCCATGCCACCCCCAATAATGCTCGTAATAAGACATGCTTGAATGAGAACCGAAAAAAAGTCATGGCTAGGAGAATGCAACGCTATGCCGCCCAAAATGAAGGTCAACCCGATTCCATCCTTCCATCAAAGAACCGGCATTAGAAGCTCCCATACCCATGTTTCAACATGCTCAACCAAGTCTAGGTCTGAGTCTGGCAGAACTTCATGTTCAGTTTTCTCCAGGTTCAGAGTTTCGACCAGATTCCAGAACAAACGTTCAATGGCTTCTGTATCGGTGCCGTCGGTGAGCAGGCCATTTAAACCCTTCTCCTCGAGGAACCGCATGATGACATCTCCATCGACATACCACGCTCGAGCCCGGGCCTGTCCCTTGTTTTGGTGCTCTGGGTCAACCTCCCTAGCTTTTATAGGCTCTTGCTTCTCATCTTCGGCACCATTCATAAACACGTCGTCGTCATCATTTCTGACAATGGAGTGCTGGTTCTCTAGGTTCCGCTTCTCCTTCACTTCAACCAGGTTCTGAATAAACTTGAGCAGTTTGAGCGCCGGTGCAGACACGATGCTGAGAGTGTACACTGTGCCATCAGAACATGTCCCAATTATGTCGTCTGCTAAGACTCCTCGTATCGTCGGAGAACTGACGCCCGGAGGGGACGACACGTAGCGAACGGGACGACGCCACGGCGGCCGAACATCGCCGCGCTGCAGGCGGGTAATGGACCGTGGCAGGTTGGCCTCGAAGACCATGGGAGCGGCCGATTGATACGGACGGGCTGGGGGTTGGAATAGGCCGACCAATGAACAAACCTTGTCGGCCACTAATACCAGAGTGTCAAGACGAGATGCTGGTTGTGAAGGTGGACCCAAAATCGAGGAAGGCGCCAAGGGTTCAGGCAACGGTTGCGGGGTATAGAATTGCAAGGCTAGGTGATGAGCACAAAGTCGTTGACGGCCGTCGGTGAAAACTTTGTCAAACTCGACCTTTCGTGATTCTAGGGGATGTACTCTGACTAGATAGCAAATGTGGGAGTCGGAAGCGGTAGAGACGTAGATGTAAGGCGCGACGGTCGTCACATGAACGGCAGCAGAAGGTAGCTGAAGCTGCCCTTGCTTTATCCATCTGAGGTGCATTAGCTAGAGTCGATGGCGAGTAGAACTATCCTACCTCGGTTCCAAGGGTTGGTACAACTCAAACGTAAGAGAGCGATCTATGACTGTCACGAGCTCGTTCGGGCCATATAACGCCATACAACGCACCGGATGATCGAATGTAGACTCCTTCTTTAGCTTAATATTCGTGTCGGCGACCTGGAGGAAGAGTTTCCTGCCCGTTTCTTTTCCGTTACGCTGAGTGATGCCGGTTCCAACAATGACAAAATGATATTTCTTGCCCTTTTCGTCGACATATGTCCAGTCCAATATTGCGTACACTCGCTCGTAGTTCTTCAGCCAGAATTCGCCTACGATTAGCTTGCTCTTCCGCACTTCAACTTCGATATCCTCCTCTTGCTTAATTTCAATCCTGGTCTCGTCGTCTTCCATGTTGACGAGTCGAATGGCTGATCGTATGCTACGATATCCGTCTGGTGGTGCTCGCTCTTCTCTGGTCTCGGTAGTCGCCACGACCATCTTGCGCAGTTTCTCTAGATATACCAGCTTCGTCGGAGAGGCAGTCGTCTCCAGCCTTCGTGGAACAGCTTTGTTCGGTTCAAATGTGGAGAGAGCTGCCTCGTGTCGTGACCATCTGATATCGTAGTCCAACCGCGAAAATAGGAGCCGGCTCCCTGATACTGCGAAAATGAAGCCACTGAGATCTTTGCCCACTTGATCGCCCTTCGTCAAAGGTAGCTGATCCAATGCAGTGACTGGAGATTGCTGATATTCAGGGGTTTGGTGATCTGTAAACCAGACAGAATCAATGTCAACGCTAGAGGTTGATCCAAGATTTCTTGTACACCGCACTCGACAAAAATCCGATCCACAGGCTACAAATGCTGCAGATGAGTCCGTTGCACTTCTTGTCACCCGCGCAGCAGTTGGCCCCATGATGACTTCGTGTTTCGGAACTAGAGTAAAGCCGTCAGGACCCGACACATCAATGTCAAAAATGAGTAGGTGTCCGTTTCGTAGGCCACAAAGAAGAATTTGGTGCGAGCCGGAAGTGAGCACTACGGCAGTCTCACACAACCTCGGTCCATTGCTAGCACTCCCAAGTGCGCAATCAAACACTCGGGTCACACTGCTCTCGTCGTGTTTGAGAATCCATATCGAATTCTCCCATGTACCCGCAAGGATGTATGGCCCTCCGCCAATGCTGAGGAATTCGAGACATGTTGGATCGGAAGGGAGGTCTTGGGTAGCGGGGTTTGAGTCGAAAGTGCCGTCGCTTGAAATTTTTATGACTTGGAGGACTGTGCGCTGGCCATTTCTGAATGCATACGCGATAATGTCTAGGTTGGAATTGACAGCCGCTGCAAGTGCTGGCGCCGGGAACGGGACTGATTGTTGTGTTGGAAACGGGAGTGTGAGTGAATCAAGCAGGCCCAAGTCATGCCGTCGAAGGAGTCGAGCACTGTTACGAGTGATTTGGACGGAAAGAGAGGGGCTGACCCAACAAGCGGCAAGAGTCTCCTCATCACGGCAGACTCCGTCCTGGGCTGGTTGCGTATCGTCGGGTATATGAGCAATGCTCCATTCTCCATCATCCCAGGCACCGCCTTCTGCTTCCGTGTGGAAAAGTCGGACCACAAAACTCTCAGGCGGGAGAGACACAAGTAAAACAGCGTAGTGTTGCTTTTCTTCCCCGATGATCTCTGTACCGTAGTCCATTACCCACAGCCCAGTGCATCCCGTCATTCCTTCGGAATAACCGTCCACCAATGCGTTCAGTCCTCGCCTCAGCTCCGAAATAGTTCCATGAGGGGTCCTTCCGTTGGCGACGAAGATGCTGTCTCGCTGGCCGACCGTTCGCGCACCCGGCAGCCTTGTGACGCACAAATCAGCAATCGGCGCCCAGTTTGGTATCGACTCCACAAATGCAAAGGTGTTGTTGGCCAGAAAGGATTTTCCCATCGAATACTCCTCCATCCATGCCCCAACTTTATAAACATGCCCGTCACTCGTTGTGCCGGCCGCAACCAATACATCTGGATTTAAGAGAGCTCTTCCAGATCCGTGTTCAACGTCGAGACTTGCAAAAGCCCTGTCGATTGGATGCGCCCATTTCCCAGCCTCGTATATTACCATTTCGCTTCCATTCCCAACTTCGAGATAGATGACCACGCCATCTTCTCGAGCAATGTAGAAAGCTTCGCTTGAGCCATGGCGAGGGACTCTCTCCCATTGTACCCACAGGGGTGGGCCCTTGCTATCGGCCGGCTGTTCATACTGTAGGATGTGGTCGGGTATTGACGAGCGTAGAGGTGTTGGGTGGCCGGACAAAATGTTTTTGTATTTTGATATATGACGGCCACAGATTAGAAGAAAGTCGGGGCTCTCGTTGAGAGGGACTAGGAGCGCAGGGTTGTGGTCGTCTGGGGAGTGTTAGTTCAAGCATATAGGTTGAAAGAGAGGCCTGAAATGATGCAATGAATGAATGGATGCAATTTGATAAGCCGACTCACCAGGATCAACTGCTACTCTCTCAGCTCGAGCTGTGACTCTACTCAAAGGGTATCTGGAATCCCAGTCAAAGCAGGTTATTTTCGTCTTTCCGCCATGCGCAACAATGAATAGAAGAACGACATGAAACTCGTCCCTCTCATCTTGATCAAGCAGACCCGGAGATAGAAATTCCATGTGCATGATCCGCCCTTGTACGGGGATGAGTTGTTCGTGCTCTATAGGAACCACATCACGTCCAGCTTCAATATCGTCTCGCCAATTGTCCATCATCTTTGTCATGTATATAAGACATTGCCCCTCAGGCGCAGCTACAGCTATGGCACGGCATTTGGGGTCGACAGCGAGGAACGTTCCCGGTCGATCATAGCGCATGGTTCCTGCCGGGAGGCGAACTGTCTTCTGGCAGAAGCGGACAGTGCCCGTATGAGTCGATTGCGCCCACAAGAACATGAGAGTTCTAGAGGTGAGAGTTAGCACAATGACTTGCGGTGGTAAGATGTCTTTGGCTTCGACGCTCTGCACGTCTTCTCGTCTTTCAGACGACAAAACCGCCCTTTTCAATGGGGTTCCATCTGTTGCAGGGACTTCGTGTCTCCGGGGCTCGCCAAAGATGCTCGCGGCAAGAATCCGGCCTCGAAAGTCAGACTTGGAGGCGATATGACGGAGGTGTCCGTAAGCCCGTATCTCTTTCAGGTGGACGGAATCCTCCCCGATGAAGACCACATCGTTCAACTTCTTCTGTCGGATGTTTGCTGGGAGAATGAACTTGACGACCGGACTGGCAAACACCGTCCTCGAAACGATACCGAGATGCGGGACTTCATGCTGTGGTCGTGTCTCTGGCTGTTTCATCTCGGTGTGTGGCTGCTGCTGCGCTCGAGCCATGGCTTGGAAGACATCACCTGGTCTTGACACCCACTCGCCGTCAACGAGCACCATGCCTTGGAACTGGTGGGCCATGGCTATATAGGAGAGACAGGGAAAATGGGCCAGGGAATCGAGCCACTAAGGTCTTGGCAACGGCGAGTCAATGCAGCCGGAGCGACTTTGCAGAGCACGAGACAACCCTTCTCAACCAGCACGGTTATGATTGAATTGGAAGGGAGAGAACGACAATGAGCTGAGAAACGTGTGACATGTTGATGCCTGGCGAAACAGACATGCCTTGTCAGCAAGGCCGCTAACGTGATGGAGTGAAGTAGACGGGACAGAAGGACGGGCACTGAATAGTGACACAAAGAGATCGGCTTGCAGAACCGCCTATGAAGGAGATGAATGGGAGAGGCAGATGCAGGAAGGAGTGGCTGTGGACGGCAGACGAATCAAGGTTTGGGTGGCAGGCAGGCTGGGGAGAAGAGACGAATTGGATGGGGGGAGGTTAGGATGTGCCCTGAGCAGGATTCGGTCAAAATATGGAGTCGGAAAGGCTATAGCCACCCACATATAGGTAGGCAAATGGCGTGTCCGAGCGAAAGCGGTTCCAGAGGTCGGGATGCAGGCGCGAAGTCAGGTGCGGGATCGATACGTTAATCTGAGATGCTGCAGACGGAATGGAAATCCGCCGCGGCCTATTGGTAGGGAATAGCGCAGCTGCACAATCGCAAACAACACAAGATGGTGGTTGAGTGCTTGCTTTTGCAGTGAAGAGCGGGTGACTTTGCGAGTTGACTGCAGTCAGCAGCGGTTTCCGCCACTCGATGTGGATGTGCGGCACGGATTCGCCAGCTGGACGTGTAGTGGTCTTTTCCAGCCAGGGTATTCGGGAGGGCTCCGGCCGACGGGGTGCTGGCAATCGTCAATGTTGCACGGCTGTCCCCACGTGTTCCTGGAGGAGGGAGCAATTCTGGCTGCTGGACTCCTTTAGAGCCTGGTGTTGACTGCCAAGCGCGGCCGGAAGTCACGACAGCACGGGGCAGCGTGGGCTCGCGTCGTCACGAATGCCACGACAGACATCCACTTCGACATCTGACATCTTCCCCGACGGACCCTACGTTGCAGCTCACTCCAGTCTTCTTTCGATAACAACTCCTTCGATGATGCAGGCACGGGCGGTATGGATTCAAACACCCCGTCCCGCTCCCTAAGCTCCATCAGCCTCGCTGCCGACAGCAATGCATCCTCCACGCACGTATCCATCGACCCCTCGGCTGTTGAGAAGGAAGCAAAGGCAGCGCAGATCACCGCGGCCTGCCAGGGCGGAGATCTCAGCGCCTTGATTGATCTGGCAACGAGCGCCCATGGACTGGTCAATGACAGGCTGCGTTGCACCGCCTGTATGCTTCTGTACCACCGTCTCCTGCAGCCACTGACTCCTGCTCGAATAGGGCCTCTTTTGCTGGGTTGCAACAACGACGTCTCGAGCAATCAGCCCCCGTGGAGCACGCTCCCCCCTCACCGAGACGAAAACCAGGTCGCATTGGACGTCAATCGCGCATTCGTGTACTACCCCAACGGTGGGCCCCATCCACCATTCTGTATCTGTGCAGACTGACCAAGTCCCCAAGAATCCGAACGAAAACTGGACGTGCGGAAAGAGGAGCTCTCGGACGTAATAGTCGAGGTCCTCCGTCGATATCCCCTGCTGTGCTACTTTCAGGGCTACCACGATATCGTCCAGGTCTTCCTCCTCGTTCTGGGTGCCCAAGATGCCCCCTCTGCAGTTGCCCGTCTGAGCCTTCTTCGCATCCGCGATTTCATGCTTCCGTCGCTCGATCCTGCAATCTCCCATCTCCAGCTGCTACACCCGATCATCCACGCTGCAGACCCGGCCCTGTACAACCATCTGCCGAGAATGCAGCCCTTCTTCGCGCTGGGCGCCACCATCACCCTGTTTGCGCATGTCATCCAGGCGTATGGAGATATTGCGAGGCTGTTCGACTTCTTCCTGGCGTCCGACACGGTTGTCCCCGTCTACTTCTTTGCGGCCGTCCTCATCTCGCGCAAAGAGGAGTTGCTGGAGATTGACAAGGACGAGGTAGATATGTTCCATGCCACGCTTGGGAAGCTTCCGCAGCCCCTAGACCTAGAGCTTCTCATTGCTCAGGCAGCCGACTTGTACAGCACGCAACCACCGCAGTCGTTACACAGCTGGGCGTGGTGGAGAGTGTCTTCTTCTAGTGTTCTCAAAGCCTCGAGGACACCTCTGGAAGTTTCGAGGCTGACCATGGAAGACGGGAAGATCTTGTTCCGACAGCAAGAGGTAGACTTGCGACGCAAACAGGCCTTTGCGCAGGCCGCGAAGAGCGTGAAGCGGGCCCGAAGCCAGATGTGGTATTACAGAAGGCCGGGTGCCTACGGTCTCGCAGTCGTTGTTGGTGTATATGCGCTCTGGTTGGGCAGAAACGGAGGAGTTAGTGCCAGGTTGGTGAGTTTTGGACCGATCGGTGGCTTTATTAAAAGAACGATGGGCATGTTTGTATAGACCACAAGGCTTTCTTTGGTAGGAAAAGCCGTCCAAGTATTAACTGGGTTTGGATAGATGGTTTGGAGTACAAACTCCTGGGAAAAGTTATGTTTTGGGTTCTGTCAGAAGATTTCATTCGTCAATGAGAATAGATGGACAGCATCGATCGTGCGAACTATGGAACTATCAGCGTTCTACCCGAACTAAATTTCCTTCCCTTGTAGATTGAAGGAGTTCCACTGACTTTCCACCGAAAGCCAAGAGCAGGATAAGAAAGACAACCCAAGCACAGTCTCTGTGAACGATTGGCACGCAATCTCTCATACGCCATTAGAGAACAGGCGAATGGGCCTTAGTAAGCTGTCACCTTAACTATAACTATTGTAGCAACCACAGATTGGTTTACAGCTTGGGCCCGCTAGCCACGTGTCCAGTTGTTTCCTACCTAAGCCTTTGAGGCCACCCTCGGGCTATTTCCCACCCTTCGCCGGCAACATATAAATCAGCTCTGACCCCAGAATCTGAACAGCGCTTTAGTCGAGTGCAGGGGTTTCAGAAGGGGTTTGAAAGTAAAATATAGAAAATAGGAAGCGCTGGAAGTGTTTGTCAAAGTCGTGCTATGCAGTTTCATCTCCGCTCTGATATTGGGGAAGGTGCGACTACCCAGACGCTTAGCCTCCTACGTAAACGCGGCCGAGCACTAAGACTATTTCTTTTAACTACCCGTAATTATGGGTAACGTTAGCGTTAATGGGAATTGTGATCTAGGTTTCTTTCTAAGCCCTCGGAGAGGTTTGTTAGTTGTACCTTTGCGACAAAGGAGGACAGTACAAGACACATCATATCATCTGCATTAATTCCAAGGCTGAAGCCAGAGCTTAGACAGGTCAGTGAATTTTCTTGGCGCTTCTTGTAGGCTCGCTGGGCCAACCCACAATCGTCTCCGCAAAATCTAATTTCAGACTTCCACCACGTTTCATGATGCATGAGGACTTTGGGAAGAAGAAGCGTTTTGAGTGCTCTATACAAGGAAATTTCTGTCTTAAATAGCTGAATCAAATAGGTCTAAGGATTCACACCAGGAGCTTCATATTTCTAGACAGGACTACTATAGAGACTCCTCATGGAGCCTGATAACACTCACGACATGCAATATGATCTAGGAATGCCACACGGTAGAACATAACCTTGAAAGACGAGATGAAACTTTTCTGAGAATACACTCGTTCTGCCTCTCGTTCTGCCTCTAGTTCCCTTATGTTCTTCTTCAATCCAGCAGTATGGCGAAGAGGACGTTCACTCGAAGGTATCTTCTAGTGAACTTCGTAGAACATGGCTAGCCTTTGTCTGCGCGCTGGTATTTCGATTGCTACTGGCTAGCAAAATGTGTCTACAGCTTTTTCGATATCGTTTGAGACTTCTACGCTTTATTTTCGTGGCCTGTTCAGAATGATGCTCTAGCGTGTCCTTGCTACGCCCACTATCTAAACACTCCCTTCCTGCGATACTGAAAGTCAAACCCGATCTTCTCTTACACTGTTCTCCTACACTATTCTCCTACACTATTCTCCTACACTATTCTCCTACACTATTCTCCTACATTATTCTCCAATTTTTTGCCTTTGGCCTAACATCTTTCTTCGCTCGCGTTTTGTTCGTCCACCACGCCACTCGAGCTCACAGTCTCTCTAACTCCTCTTCTCTGCTGGTTAGGCTTCTGAGAGCTTCGGTGTGTGCGGTTACAAAAAAGGTGTGGCTATCCCTAATATCGATGTGCTCCTTCTCGAATCGGGTGTTGGTGGCTGTCAGTTCAGAAATGCGGGCTTCCAGCTCCGCAAGGAACGATTTGTTTGAAAAATTCGATGCGCATCTCTGGTGTTCAGTAGCTCAGTTAAACCTCCGATTCACTATCCTTCAATACTTTTTTTGAGCTCCAATTTAAGTATCCGCCTGGTTGCATTTCGATGCACAGTTGGCGCAAACGGAAAGTGTGGGAGCTGTCTAGAATGAAATCTATACTTGTGCTTGCTATCTTTACAACGCTAGGTATGTTACAGGTATCTCCTCTACGCAATCATCCGGACGATAAAAAAAGACACATAGGCAAACGCCGATCCATATACATCACTACTCCATGCTCCAGTCTCTGGTGCTCGCCGACTCCCCCAGTTCACAATACAACGCGCCTCCATGTGTCTATCCCTATCCCGCGGCATCCTCATCAGAAACTGAGCTTAGCAAAGACTCTATCTCTTCTTCCCTACTTTTGCGCGGATGAATCATAGACTTGGGTGCGATTTCCCATCCACTCTGCTTATTCAGCCTCACTCTCACTACCTCGCACTCCTCTAGGAAGATCGATGGCGAAGGAGGCCTCGAATATGCCCCGGAAATTTCATACAGTTCTGTCTCTTCTCCTTCCTTGGAACTTTGGCTCGGGATACAAAGTCTGGATTGGGAAGTCGATTGCCGTGCCCGCTTCCACACCACCGTTTCGTTTGCGCTCATGCTCGCTTCATGAGTGCTTTTGCTTTTGCTTTTGCTTTTGCTTGTCCAACCGAATACTTTAGCGAGCCAAGAGAAGGGAGGGAGTCTAGATCCCCTGGCTAATCGGTGGGCTCGCCGGTTTCTGCGCTCTTGTCGGCGCTGGATACGGGCTTGAGTGGCATAGTATTCGTCGTCATCATCGAAGAGGCCGATACTTCCTGACTGGAGCTGGCCTGAAGGATCGTGTGACATCTGGACGACGGAAGCAGGTAAGGAGTTTGACGAGACCAGAAGGCTCGCCACTGAAGTGGATTGAAATAAGTGGATGTTGTAACGTTTAGAGGGCACGCTTGATAGAGTAGGTGTCGGGAAATTTCATATTCATATAAGGAAGGATGGATTTGAGAACTGAGCGATTTTGGAAGGCAAGCCCATCTGGGCCCGCGGTTGCAAAGCTAGGGCAATGGCAGAGGACGAGTGAAGGTAAGGACGACTCAATTTGTATCGCTATCACTATCGCTAACACTTATTGTACGTCACAAGGCCAAGTCGCTTGCCAATTACCTGCCATCGAATTCTTAAACGGTGCTGATATTATTTCTACTGCATAAGCGACTTGGCAAATACGTAGTAGCTCTTCATTTACAAGGTTCCGAGTTATCTTTGCATGGGAATAGATATTTGTGCATTTCTCTTGAAATCGTGAAGATTGTCGATTCATTTTTGGAGCCCCTTCGTATCTTTCTCAACACCCATATAGAGAGCGTTATCTATGGGGACGAGGAAAGATGGTTATGGTAGTGCTGGCTTGGAAAATTGTTGAAAGGTGGGACCCCCTTGTTCTATTGATTGAAAACATGCCTATAAAATGTTCCGTCTTTGAGCTGGAGTATAAACGGGAGAAAAAGGAAAGGCATAGTAACTACTTAACCGGATTAGGAAGATTAGAGTGGATCCAAGAGTGGATTACACTGGCATGCCTGATACAACCGTAAGGAGCAGAGAGGGTCATTAATTTGATAGTACAGATTGACTTTATAAACACAAGATGCGGGCAAACTCAGGGCAAGAGTCAAACATCTGGTGCAGGTGCGAAGTCATTTTAGTCGTTCGATGTTGCACACTTGCACACTTACACGTAAAGCAAACGATGAACCTGATGGCAAGAACATGCTTGAGTCAAGGGCAATCGCGATTTCCAAATCGAAGCTTCACCAAGATTTCTTATAGCTCGGAGGTATTGTCTAACATTTCGGTTATGTTTTTTTTAGCGACATTGGCATGGGAAAGAGAAGACTGATGTGTGTAGTCTGTAGTGAAGAGGGAGGTATAGTTTTCGTTGACTATGTCTGTAACCTTGTAGGAGCACGAGTTACGAGAAGAGTCATGTCACGTGGACTGAGGGTCCAAGGAGCTATATGGTTTATATAGTATGATGAGACGCCAAGCCCAAGGCTGATTGGGCAGCCTGTCGTAGAGCCCTTCGGCTTACAATGTCCTCTGGTGGTGTAATGTTTTTGCTCATAGAAGCTAGCGGAGCTATGTGAATGAGGAGTGAAGAAAATGAGGAGCTGAATTTTTGAGACCTCTGTATATCTACGGGCAGAAAGAGCTTGGATGAATACTAAAACGAAGATGGCTGACTTGGCAGTTGCGTCGTTGGACATATATTGATGCTGTAGCTGCATCGAACAGAAACAACGGGTTGGAAGCAGGCACCTCTAACTTGAATCGGGCTAGTGCCCACGTGCAAGCTGAACCTCTTGTCTTGAAGTTTGACTTCTAGTTCTCAGCATTCTCCCCTCGATTCATCGAATGCGAACGCGAAAACACGATGCCTTTTCGTAGGTGCTGCACAATGGATGCAGCTCCCAAACGTCAGATGCTTAGAAATGACCACCCACAGGAGCTAACGCGCAAGCACCTTCGTTCGGGGCAGGAACCTGAGCACCACACTCCCGATGATCACATCCTAAGCAAGACCATTCCTGACGACTCTACACAAGCTCTGCTGTGAGTCCAGTGGACATCTCACATGCCATTGCCCTTCGAATTACTGACACGAGAAAGATGGGCCCGAAATAAGCGCGAATCGCCTTTTCTGCGCCTCCCTGCTGAAATCCGGATGGAGATTTATGATCTTATATTTAGCGGGAACACCATTAAAATTTCCCGTCCTCGGTATAAAGACGGATTCAAAACCACAGTATGGAAACTCTCCAATGATCCGTTCAAAACAATCCGCAGTCCCAAAAATCTCGTAAAGCAAAGGATCACGCTTCTTAATGGAGTGTGTCGGCAGCTATACAAAGAAACTGCAGTGTTGCCGTACAAGATGAATGTCTGGGCGTTTGACGATTCAACAATTTTGAGAGAATTTCTGGTTGGGATGCCGGCGGAGCAGAGGAAGGTGATTCTGAGGCAGATTAGGGAGAGACAGGCAGCGGATCGGCAGGTGTGTTAACGATGAAGAGGGAAGGAGCAAAGGGATAAAGATCTTTTTTGTAGCACGGTGGAGAACTTCGAGTCACGTGTTAAGTCTGGCTATTCTAAGAAAACGGAGGACAATCACATCTCCGATGAGTTCACTTGCGCAGAAACATATGTACGGGAATGGAATCCTGAACGGCGGAAGATGTAAGCATTTCTGCTTTGCTAAAATTGTTAATTTTAAGGGAGCTACTGAGCATTTACCAAAATTTCCGCCGGCAAAGCTTGGGCTTGGTGAAAGTCCATATTTCTGTTCCTCTTTGCACTATTCGCATACGTCTCAAACCCTCCAAATTGCCGCCGAAATCATTCATTTGCTCACTCTATCTAACAGATTCCAACTTCTAGCCTTCTACGGTACGCTAATAATTCAAACCCGCGTATCACTTGACATGATGCCAATAAGATGTGGGGAATGATTCTGAGGATAGGTCGTGGTTCGTGAGGCCACGTTGGTAAGGGAGAATATTGGTGGCCAGGTGGCATTTTATAAGATATTCCACTCCAGAAGTCTTGACAAGGAAAGCCTGTCAGAAGGCGAGTTATGAGTGTGATAGAAAAGGGAAATTATTACAGTGGATGGTGTTCCGTTTATAGATTATTAATGGTCCGAAAGACGCGAAGAACGGGATAGAATGAACGGAGGGAGCAACTTGCTTCCAAACCAGGTCATACCGAATGGAAAAGCTCCTGGAGTGAAGGTACTAATAAAAAATTTGTTCTGGCTGTTCGAAACTAGGGGGACCACGGAATTGGACTACGGTGGGACGGAACATACTACATCACGTGATTGTATATTTCTCGACAACTGAATTAAGAAAGGAATGAACGATTCTATTAAGAGCTACTGTGTATATAGAAATAGTAAATTATCCAAAGAATTGCTAATAAGAACAGTAATACTTCGTCTCTCCAAGAAGTTCCTCTGCAACATCCATCTTCTTCGCATCTTCATAATTGGCTTTCACTCGTCGAATTCGCCTTTCGCGCTTCAAAAGCCCGTTTTTCATTTCCATGTGCGCGGGATACTTCTTCTGGTGCGTTCTAGAGATGAGTGTACGTATATTTAAAGCCTAGGACCTGAACGTCTCGGAAGAAATTGAGGAAGGAAGAAGAGCAGGGGGGACTTCATAGCTGCAAGGATATGCTATAGGGATGGGGTGAGACCCCCAAGTAAGTGGAGGGTAGGAAGCAGACATTGGAAATATCTTGTAGATTAAGCTTCGTGTGAACAGAGGCTTGGTTCTGAGTGTAGAATGGGCGGATTCTCACTTATATGAAGGGAGAGAATAAATTTATAAGCTCTGCTTGTCGGAAACGACGCGAAATAATCACACGCGTTGTTATCATACGTAAAAGCTTGCTAAGCATAACATCTACAAATTGTACGTTACTCTGTTTGAAGTTACAAGATTTTGAATGCTCTAGAACAGTTTTCTTTGGGAGCTCAGTATCTACGTATCGAACAGCGCAGACTCCAGCGCCCACTTCATACTCCCCTTTATCTCGCAAATGCCACATACGACGCTTGTCATCTCCGCGCTCCTAGATCGCTGTACCTCCCTCTTCCCTCTATCTTCTATATGCTCAAGCTGCCTTACCCAAATCATCATCTGTGCCCGAATGATATCTATATCCTTTCTTCCCATAGCCTCTTTTTCCGCTTCACGCATTGCCCCTTGCTCGTGGTGATGCTGAATGCCATGGAGGTCGTTGTGGTGGAGCTTTTCAAGTGGTGTTTTGCGATGCTCTTCACGCAGTTGCAGATGCTGGAACTGGTCCATGACGGCTGCGAAAGTGGCTTCGTTTTCTGCTAGCGCGTTTGACTTGTCTTTGAGCCTCTTTTCGGCGGCTTCTCTCTTTCTCTTCTCAGTCCTAAGTTCGGCTAGAACCTGCGAAAGGTAGATTTCATGATTCTCGTTGCTGTGGTCGAGATTGTCGCGCTGGGCAGGCGGATCCGGTTGTCTAGGAGCCCGTCGCTCCCTATGTTCCCTGGGGGTCTCTCTAGCTCGAAGAGGTTCCTGTCTAACATGTTTTTCTCGTGCCCAATGTTCCCGGCCAAACCCTTGGTATGCGGAAGGGTGACGGTCCTTGGGTATGCCCCGGTGACTCGGAAACGAGTCGTAGAAGGCCATTGCAGTGTTAAAGGTACACTTTCCGAGTTCGTTAGTATTGAGATAAGCGAAAAGAAAGATCGGATCCCTCAAACGAACCAAATGCTTTTATATGCGAAGCAATACACGAAAATTGTTTGTGGGTTGCGCAAACGAAAAGCGGAAGACATTTGTGAGAAATTAATACATTGATTGCCCTGTTAAGCAAACTGACCTGAGAAGGGATTGAAGGAACTAACACGGAAATGGTAGGCGGTAGAATGATTGACACGCTGTTGTGTCTTTCCGATAAAGATATGGGTTACAGGATGCTTGACATCCGGTAAGCTGATTGATTCGTGAGTGGCCTCTCATCCTCTGTAGAACCCGAGATAAGTGGAGGCCCAACCAATGTCTTTCTGCCTCATGAATTTCGGGTAAGGGAATCATCTTCACTGCCTTGAACTCCATTCGTAAGCATTCGATGCACTTGGTAAGTTTTCTGCTCCAACTCCGAACACTGAGCTGTTCCTTGAAGTTGTCCCGCTCCTTTCTTATGGTTTCAAGGTCGGCTTGATATTGCTTTCTTAGCACCGTTCTTGTCTATAGTGATCCCTGACATGCGTGAACCGCACGTCTCTATTTGGGGGGTAATAATAGTGCGGAGCCCTGTTGTGCTTCTTGGCCAGCCGGACTGGCCATATAAATCATTGAGGTGGGAAAGGTTCGGGAAGGGAATGTGGATTTGAGACGATAAGTTGGTAGAATTCCCGAACAAATGCAACTAGAGGTGTATGCAGCTGATTTGTGTTTACATAGCTCTCAAACTCGCGTTCGCGATCAACTGCTAGCATAAATCTAGCAGAGCAAACGGATGAAGTGAGAAACGGAAGCCTCTAAATACGAACCAATCATTTTCATCTAGATGTCCCTACGTAAAGATGATCCCACCGTCAATGACAATCGTTTGCCCCGTCATATAATCCGAATCCGGACTACTCAAAAAGCTCACCGTATTGGACACGTCTTCTGGCACACTGGTCCTCCCCAATGCTATCAGCTCTGAGCTATACTTCTTGATCGTGTCGCCCTTCTTTGCGCCCTTCATCTTGCCGAGTTCCTCGTCAATCAAATCCCACATGGCAGTACCGACAATACCGGGAGCGTAAGCATTGACCGTGATTTTGTGCGTCGCCATTTCCATCGCGAAGGCTTGCGTCATGCCACGGACAGCCCATTTACTGGCGGAGTAATGGGAGAGTAGGGCAAAGGGCTTGAAGGCGACGATACTGTGGAGGAACGATTAGAGAGAAGAGATGAGCGGACAGAAACGAACCTTGCCGCCCCAAGAATCTTGCCTCCGTTGCCTTGCTTGATCATTTGCTTTGCTGCGGTTGAGTAGCAATTGTAGACGCCGTACACTGCCTCATTGAGCAGGAACCATTGTGAATCTATGTGACCTCACCATTCACTTCAAACATGCGTCGAAGATCTTGTTCTGTCAAGTCCAACAACGCTTTGACTTGAGCAATCCCCGCATTCGCAACCATTGTGTTCAAGGCCCCCAGCTCGGATACTGAAGCCTCTACCAGGCCCTGGACCTCTTGAAGGTTCGAGACGTCAGCCATGTAGGAGAATGATTTCCGGCCCATGCCTTTGATTTCGGATACCACTTCTTCAGCGCCGGATTTATTGGCTGGTACATCATTCACGCAGACGTCGTATCCATCCTGGGCAAGACGTAGGGCGATTGCTTTACCGCTGTGAACAATCAGACGTGATCTCCAGTTTGGCGGGTGTCCCACATTCCCCGAGAAGAACCTGTTACAATAGCCGTCCGATTCCGCTGCTCCATTGTTGGGGCGGCATATTGCCGGATCCAATGCGGAGTTTGGTTGGTTACACGTGACACGGTTGCAAGCCTCGACGTAGCTTGCCAGAGGCTCTTGGGGTGGATTCGAAAAGGCATGACTGGAGAGATTTAGAGAGAAGATGAAAGAGAAGAAGGAGAGACTGGAGCATTCGGAATCAACTAAGAACACCAGCGGTTCCGCATCATATATATCCTCCCGGCCGTTATCCCCGGACTATGGCTCCATCACACAGGTCGGATGTACGGAGGATGCACCACCCCCTCTTAGGAACTGAGCTTGAGGTTATGAACCCTGATTGACAAGGTTTCCCAAAATGTGACGTACAGGTCAGAAGCCGAATCAGAGGAGTGCTACGGCTTTTGAAGAGTAACGGAGTCTCAGACTGCTGCATCAGGTAACCCGATGTATTTTCAGGGCTTTTACCCCTCTCCACCTAGAAGGGGGGTTGAGAAAGCTGGGGGAAAGCAAGCTGCGGGGAATGAGGTGTTCTGTGAAAGGAAGGTGTAGCGGGGTGAATGGTGCGGGGAAGGCGCAAGAAGTGGCTAGTCCCTCTTCGTCTTAGCCCGGTCTCGTGCCAACTTTGATCCGAAAACGCGTCGTGGTCGTCCGGCATCGACGACAGTATTGGAACGCATCGTGGGGTCCACCAACACACCAGAGCCGGCGAAATGTCTCGCCAGAGTGTCGCCCCGTCGCGGAACCTGACTCTCACAGAAGAATTGGAGAAGTTGGAGCAGTCAATAACGCTGACCCTGCAAGGTAAACAATATTTCCTCTACCCCACATGCCCGACTAACAATAACAGAAATCGATCACAACTTCAGCCGAGCGCACCGCATCGTGACAGCAAATGTTCTGCCGATCGTCGAGCAATATGGAAAACATTCGGAAGCAGTTTGGGAAGGCTCCAAGGTATATCCACGTGTCAATATGCATCATCGCAGCTGTTTATATTACGCAGTTCTGGAAACAATTCTTCGAAGCCAGCGCCAATGTCTCCCTCTCTGGCTACGAGGATCCTGGCCAAGACGAATCGACTGCGCATGAAGAGACCCAAGACTCTCAACTCTATGATGACCAAACCGCCGAAGACACTGTGACCGGCGCGACAGCGACACCCCCCAAACCGTCCTCCTCCCATGCTGATAATGACTTCGACGATACCTCCACGCTCGATTCGCCCTCTCTTGCGCACGCACATAGCACGCCACGGGCGCCCCATACAGGCGGAAAAGAACCAGTATTCGCGGAGTACCCGTCTCCATATGAAGCCCTCAAACGGGAGATGGAGGGCGGGTCGCGCACTCCCGGGCTGGAACCAACAACACCTGGCAAGAACCAAGCTCTTCCAGATATGACAATGACGCCGGAGTCGTCTCCATTCGTCCCACCAACCACTACCAAGAAGACGGTGCATGTGAATCAAGATCCCCTCCTCCATCGCATGCTCGACAAGACTTACCGTATTGCTGCAACGCCCCACACCGAAATAAGGCAGAAAGCATTCGTCGGACTCACTCCTGGCACAGCCAACAAAGGCCGCCCTGCGCTTTCACGCTGGACCGAGGACTCGTCTCCACCATCTTCCCCCGCTCCACAACTGCGCGCCGACATTTTCTCTTCGCCTCTAAAAGCACCCAGGACACCGGGCGTGAGTGTTCAGCATACGCCCGGAAGGGGGAAGCAAGCTTTCAACCCCATTCAGAGCAGGGGAGTATTTGACAGCGACAGCGAAGTAGAGGAGGATGGACTGGACTTTAGTCCACCGAAGACTATGCAGTTTCACATCCCGCAGAGCAGACTACTTCAGACGCCTGGTGAGTATCCGAACTGTGTGTTTCCAACAAGTTGTTGCTAATGTCATATTCAGCTCGTGAAGCGAGCAAACGTATTGTGGAGGATCTGCTGATGACGGCTGGAGGAGACATTACAAGTGACTTTGAAGGGGAAGAGGATGATAGCCCGAGCATTGTGAGGCGTCAAGTCGATCTCGACGATAGCTTCTAGTTGCAAATGTGTTTCTAATCCGCAGTTTTGGCGGGCAGAGGTCGCCCTCATGGGCGATTATATAGCTTGGCATTGGTGGATGGTAGACAATGATACCCATATCCTCTCGATGAAGATATAAAAAACGGTCAAATATCAATATGCAAGGCAGTGCTTCATTCATCGGAAATGTTCAATACTCGTCGTCCTGGCCGTCCTGGCGCGTCCTGGCCGCCTTTCCCTGTCGGACGCGCGAAGGGAGCTATGCCGAAAATAGACCGGGGGCGCCGATCAGACTGGGGTGCACCTCCGTCATCAGAAGACAATTCAAGGCTCCCCTTTCAAGCACAAGACCACGTTAACCATCCACTCCCCTCCCCTCCTCCCTCCCGCTCTTTATACTACGATGCCTAAGAACCGACGACCTCCGACATCTGGCTATGCTCGAATAGCACAGGCCGAGGAGGACGAGGACGATTATGACCATGATTCAGAAGATGACTTCCACCAGAACTCCCTATCTAACTCGCAATATGCCGCCATCCAGCCCCAGCGATATTCGCATATGCAGCGGCCTAGTGCATCGGGAGACTCTTCACCTACTCTGCGGAAAGGCGCACAGGGAAGACGCGGGCGGAGCAATTCGGGAGTCGACATTAAGGCAATAAACGCCAGATTGGAGCGATGGGCCGACGAGATAGCCCAGAAATTCAAGATAAAGAAGTCCAAAACCAGACCCGAGGAACAGCAGCTGGAGATCCACCATTCCGTGTTCCAGGCCCCGGACTGGGTGCGGCCGGCCACCGCAGAGACGCTCACCTTCGACTACGAGGGCTCCTCCGACCGCATGACTAAGCTGCAGTTCGACGACACGGTAGAGAGTGTTAGGGTGGCCATTGAGCTGGGCACACATCCCAAACTGATTTCGCAAGGCAGCTCTGGCAGCTACTTCGCCTGCAACACGCACGGCAAGGTGGTGGGCGTCTTCAAGCCCAAAGACGAAGAACCTTACGCGTCAAGAAATCCGAAATGGACCAAGTGGATCCACCGGAATCTCTTTCCCTTCTTCTTTGGTAGAGCGTGCCTTATTCCGAACCTGAGCTACATCTCCGAAGCCGCTGCCTACGTCCTCGACTCCCAGCTCCGCACGAACCTCGTACCCTACACCGACATCGTCTCCCTCTCGTCGAAATCTTTCCACTACGACTTTTGGGATCGCCGAGCATACTACAGAAAGAAGAAGCCGCTGCCGGAGAAGGTCGGGAGCTTCCAGGTCTTCTTGAAGGGCTATAAAGACGCGAACATCTTTCTGAAGGAGCACCCCTGGCCAGACCAGCATAGTTCGGGCTTCCGGGCGGATAACGCCCTGCGAAAGAAGAAGCGGAGGAGATGGGCGGAGGAATGCCGGCCTAGCGGGCCGCAGTCAGACGACGAGGATGAGGAACGGTCACGATCGGACACTGCCGAAGAGGCGCGGCAGCGGAGCGTGTTTTGGACTGAACCTCTGCAGCAGTCATTCAGAGAACAGTTGGAAAAGCTCGTCATTCTAGACTACATCATGCGAAATACGGACAGGGGTTTGGACAATTGGATGATCAAAATTGACCAAAAGGCGCAAGCAGCAACCATCGTTGCTGAACCACCCAGAATGGATGGTCCCGCGGATGGCGAGGACGGCCCCAGCGACTACACTAGGCAGTCTATGTCTGAGCTGGATCCGTACAAGCGGCAGGAACCGATGACAGCGACGAGCCGATCAACTACTCCACTGGCCAATGCACCGACACCCACCATGTCCATTGGGGCTATTGACAACAGTCTGTCATGGCCATGGAAGCATCCCGATGCTGTAAGCAGTTTCTACATACCCGGCCCATTCTGAGCTAATGATTGCAGTGGCGTAGCTATCCGTTTGGCTGGCTCTTCCTCCCTGTATCCCTCATCGGACAGCCTTTCTCCGAAGCAACCCGCCGCCACTTTCTCCCCCTTCTTACATCAAAGCAGTGGTGGAGTGACACCCAGCTTGAGCTTCGCAAGTGCTTCACGCAGGACGCAGACTTCAAAGAGCGCATGTACGCAAAGCAAATCGCTGTTATGAAGGGCCAGGCGTGGAATGTTGTCGAAACCCTGAAGACTCCTGATCATGGACCCCTAGAACTTACGCGAAGAGCAAGAGTCTGCGTGTGGGACGACTTGGTCGAAATCCCCATTGCCGTGCCTCTCCGCGCACCGTCCGCAGAAATGAGGCGCAAGCAGCGGGCTGATCGTCGCCGGACGAGCACAGAGCAGGAAGAGATGGACATAACGGCACTGTCTACCCCTCCACAGAAGCCTCAGTCTGATATCTTGATGGCTTCACCTCCCCTTGAATTGGCGAACGAGAATCGCTTCAACTTGTCCCGACACCAGAGTTCGCAAAATGTCCGCGAGAGCGAAGAGAGCATGAGAGGTCCACTCTCGCCCGCCACAGTGCAAGCGGTACCTTGGACATCACGGGCTATCGGTGATAGACCTGCTGATCTCACCAATGGTCGGCCAAACCACCGACCACGTATGAGCTACGACTCACCTCGACGGCACCGGGGTGAAACCGATCCCAGACGCAGGAGATACTCGTTCACGACGCGAAGAAGTCACAACGCGATTATGCTTGGTGATGACGACGAGGGCGATCTTGGGTACGCGGCGAATGAGGATTTGGATAGCAATCGCAAGAGAGTTATTGTGGAAAGGCTAGAAATGGTCAAAAGTAAAAATCCTGTGTTTACTTGGTGTTGATGTAATATTATGCGACATGGGTGGTATATCATTAGACCAGGGAACTGCATGACGGGAGCCTGCATGGGGCGGGAGTTTTGCAAGCTTGCATTTTCGGGCGTTGATTTTTTTCTTCAACTTTGTAGTTTGTACACTGGCATTTCGCAGACTTTGGGTAATTATTCATATAGTTAAATTATTGACCGGCCACTGTGTCTTACCCCCACTTGCTTATCTGTCAGCCTGTTACAATGTCCACGTGAGCTTGCGCTTTCCATGGTTCCGATGCACAGACCAAGTACGCGCCACACCATGCCACACCCGCGGCCGACCGCTAACGTCGTGACTTCACCTACAAAAAGGCATCCATGACTCTCCGCCGCCTGACATGTCGTGGCGCATCTGTTCTCCAACGAGCTCCCTCATTGCGATCCTCTATATTCGTTGATGGGCTTGGCCGCCTCTCTGCCTGCAGCGTCTTGCGGCTTCGAAGCGACCCAGAAGTGGACCTTCACAAGTGAAGCCGTGAAAGCCGTATGAGTTCTCTCAGGGCAATAAATTGTCGCAACAAAGTATACACAACACCGGCAGTTCCAAAACAATCTCTCTCACATGTCATAGCACCTGTTCCAACTCCTTCGCCACCATGGACCCAAGGTTTCTTCTTGACCCACGGGGAGCTCGCAAGCAAGGTAGTTTCCCTCTCTCTTCTCCTTCTCTTTCTCCTTCTCCTTCTCCTCCTCCTTCTAATCCCTTTCAACCCTAATCCCCCTCTCGTTCTCCCTTGATTCCTGTCTCTTTAATTTCTTCAACTATCATGAACAACGCTCCAGGGATGAGCTCGTCACCTCAGGAATTTATGGTGTCGGCCTTAGGTCGAGACAACTTGTTCAACCCTACCATTACTCACACCAGCTCTCGTTCGTCCACTCCCACCATTTCCGTTTATGATACGTCAGACCTACAGTTTCAGCCTCGGTCTTCTCGCCTTCAAGACATGCAACACGATCAAGACACGACTCCGTCTCAAGAGTCAATCCATCTGCGCATACCAGAATCATCTGAACTAACTGGCGAAGGCAACGACACCCCAAAACATCAAGACAACCGGGTCGTTCCGCAAGTCCAACATCCTTACAATCCACGTGCGCTCCTCAATCAGAAATCTGCACCCAAGCGTCCCGCCACTGACGATGCCGATCCCGCAGCACTCGCTACAGGCCAAATGGCTTTCATCGAGCGCATGCATAACGTACACGAGAGAACGGCATCTCCGTCGAAACGAATGAGGACTGAAGATGAGCGCAAACAGCAGAAACCACAGCCCAGTGTGCAAAGCGGCGGCGGCGGCGGCGGCGGCGGCCTGAATCTCAACTCACAGAACGGCCAGGCGCAATCTGCGTCCTTACCGGTTCCAATTGATTTGACTTTGAGTTAGTAGATCTTTCCATCAAGCGCGAATCTGGGCTTACATAATCCAAGGCGATGACGATGACGAAGACGAAGAAATTACAGTTGTCAAAGATAACAGTATGCAAATCATCTGTATCGGGCGAATCAAGCAGGCATACGTCCAATGCCACCTGGTGCCTTTCCCCGATCCCACTAAGTACAAGGGTAACTATGGCCAGCAAGCACGCATCGAGCTCCGCTTTCGTCGGACAGGGAGGAGCACAAACGTTATTCTCGTTGTCGACCCAACCGGGCAGGAGTTCGGCCGAGTGGACCTTAAGACTGCTCAAGGTTTATCACCACTTATGGACGGTGCAAGTGCGAGTGGACTTAAATGGTCTGGCGTGACTGAGTCACGGAGAAAGCAGCCCAACGAAGGACCATCTGGAACACCTACATCGGCCCTCATCGCAATGTCACTTCAACTCTACTGCCCTCGGAAGGTCGCCCATGATGTCGGTAAATATCTTAAGACTAAGAACATCCAACTCATTGACCCGGTGTTTGCCATACAAAAGTACGAATACTTCAACCCCCAGACTTCAAGCTCGTTTCCACCAAGGGACGTAGAGTTTGATGCCGGACAAACGCAAGGGGTAAACACGGGTTATGCAGCCAGTTCCGGTAATTACGTGCTACGGAGCGTGGAAGAAATTCGGTACGACGTCCAAAATATGTTCGATGCGTTGCCCAACACCGCGGATATACCTGAACGAGAGCAGAGCGAATTAATCAAGACCAGTCTTATGAAACATCAAAAGCAGGCTCTTCATTTCATGTGGGATCGAGAGCAGGACCGGTCTGAGGATAGTTTACTTCCAGATTCGCTGTATCAAACGAAATATAGACGCAATGGCAGCAAGGTCTTCCGGAACGTCATTACTGGCGAGGAGACTTACCGGAAACCACCAAGCGCTTTAGGCGGAATCCTAGCAGATGAGATGGGCCTTGGCAAGACACTCAGCATCTTGTCTCTTATTGTCGACTCTGAATCTCAAGCCCAGGCCAAAGAATTTGCTCAGAAGGCTCCTTCCATGCACAATGGCGGACATCAGACAGCTAACAGTAGAGCGACTTTACTTGTTTGCCCGTTGACAACGCTACACAATTGGTCCACACAACTGAAACAACACTTCGGTGACAACATTCCTCTAAAAATCTGCACTTATCACGGCCCAGAGCGGAGGCGTTTTGATGTGAAGACTCTCGCCGACCATGATCTTGTTTTCACAACATATCAAATGGTTGGCTCTGACGTCCTTGATGCGTCCAAGGCCCTTAGCAGGATCAACTGGTTCCGGATTGTTTTGGACGAAGCGCATACTATCCGTAACGCAGTGACAAACCAATCTAAGAAGACGATGCTGCTTGAAGCCCAGCGTCGTTGGGCTGTCACGGGCACTCCAGTTCAGAATCGGTTGGATGACCTTGGGGCATTGCTCAAATTTCTGAGAATTAGGCCATTCCACGAGACGGCGGGTTTTAATCATCACATCCTTGCTCCATTCAAGAATGCTGACGCGGAAGTTGTTCCCAAGCTTCAGCTTATTGTTAGCACGGTCACGCTACGACGGTTGAAAGATGGTCTCGTAGAGCTTCCGAAGCGGGTTGACCTTGAAGTGAGGCTTAAGTTCTCCACGGATGAAGAACAGCTCCACCGGTGGTTCGAAAATGATATTGCTAAGAAAGTCAATGCCGTAACATCTGGGCCAAAGACGAAGCTGGGCGGAGGTGTCTACGCGCGGATTCTAACGGCCATCCTCAACCTTCGACTCATCTGTGCACATGGCCGTGAGCTCCTTTCTGACGAAGCATTAAAACTGACTGATGGAATGACTTGGGATAATCCAATGGCAATTGATGAGGATGATGACACCCCGGTCTTGACTAAGAAACAGGCGTACGAGATGCTAGAGCTACTTCACGAAACCGACACTGACAGATGTCAGCATTGCAATAAGAGGGTACTTAATGAAACTGGCTACGATGAGGACGAGGACGAGGAGCAACAGAATATTATCGGTTATATGTCTCCTTGCTATCACGTTATCTGCCCCCGCCACGTTAAGGCGTTCAAATCACAGTGGGACCAGTTGGCCACAGCCGATGGATTTGTTGTTTGTCAGTACTGCGAGCAGCATGTTCGCAATTCGCTATTTGAACTCAAGTACGATGAGCGCGACGACGATCAGGAGGAGCGCGAGCGATTGAAGAAAGATCCGAAGCTGGCCAAGAAATTAGGACGATATATTAGGCCTCATACGAAGACCAAGGCTCTCCTTGCTGAACTGAAGAAGAACCAGGAAGAGAGTGCGGCCAACCCGGATGAGCCACCGATCAAGAGCGTTGTCTTTTCGTATTGGACGTCACACCTTGATCTCATTCAGGTTGCCCTGGATGACAATGGTCATAAATACACCCGTCTCGATGGTCGCATGCGGCGTGAACAACGGAACAAGTCTCTTGAGGCCTTCGCCAATGATCCCAATGTTACGATCTTCCTCATTTCTTTGGGGGCTGGTGGTCTTGGACTCAATCTCACCACAGCGAACAAAGTGTACGTCATGGAACCACAATTCAACCCAGCTGCCGAAGCTCAAGCCGTGGATCGAGTCCATCGAATCGGGCAGAAGCGTCCAGTGACTATTATGCGATTCATCATGGAGAATAGCTTCGAGGAGAAGATGCTCATCTTACAACGGAAGAAGAAGGATTTGGCCAATCTGGCTATGGAGAGGGAGAAAATGAGCAAGGAGGAAGTTGCGAGGAAGAGGTTGGAGGACCTTCGCTCCCTGTTCAGGTGAACTGATAGTTCGTAGAGGGTTCGGAGGCGCTTGGAGTGGTGATAGCAGCCAGCCTTGCTGCGGGGACCTAATGCTGGTTTCGGGTTCGTGCGTGTATGAGATGCTTCAGGAATTTCGAAATCATTTTGCTTCAGGACAGCGATGGTGAGGGTCGCGGTTTTGCCAGAGCACACTAAAATGGTGGTGGCAGTTTTTGGGTTTAGGACGTCTTCGGACATATTGGAAGAATCACACTTTCTTCCCGAATAGATTCCGGCACAGACCTGTTAGCAGTGATCTGCCGTTTCAGCAGGTTCTATTTAGGAGTAGATAGCTTCTGCTTCATGGGTATCTGATTGACTGGTGGCCTTCAACTTGCCTGACCTATCGGTAGACAATGAAATATTTCAAAAAACATTAATTGTGGGAGTGTCTAAGGAGTTTAGTGTCTGGCATTCGTATGAACCGCGGGTATTAGTCTGCGACTTCCTGTTAAATGGCGTCGAACCTCCCATGCACCTGTCGTGCCTTTCCCATACTAATCCGATGTCATGAACCTACAGGTTCTGAGTTAAGCATAGCGGTAAATTACGTTACTTAAACTTCCTCCTCTCTTAGGTTAAAATTAGAAACAGCTTCATAAAACTTTCTCGGCTCCTTCGTCCCTTGACCGCTTAGTCTAGGGCATATATCACTTTCCAAGCTGGGGATATGACCACGTAACCTAGTGTCCCCTAGTGTCCCAAGCTCCCCTGCGCATCATCGTGTTCCTACTTCGCGAGTGACCCGGTCACTCAAGCATCAACACTGATTCTGTGATCATCTTTGGTTTCTACAACGTTGCTACTGGCTTGTTCGTAACAAAAAAGTCCCCACCTGGCACTTGCCTTCTGTCGGTTCTACTTCGGAGCCTTGCTGACGAAATACACGTAATGTCTGTGGCGGTGCAAGGGGCCCATTCCTCAAAGGGCAAAGTCTAGTGGATCTCTTGCATGACGGTACTTGCGGAGCAACAGCGAACCCCTGATTGCTCTATTCGGATATCCACATTCACGCAATAACAATTAGAGATCTCTATCAACTTGGTCACGACCTCTGAAATCTGCTAGACATGTGGCCAATATACGGTGTTCAGTTAACCAAGAATACCCGCAGACCCAACCCTAAGGTAAAGACTGGCTGCAGAACATGCAAGTAGGTAGACATACACGTCATCAGTGAACCAATAAATGCTCATAAAAGGCTCAATAGATGACTGGCTGATATCTGTATAGGGTACGCCGTGTCAAGTGTGATGAGAAGCGACCTAGCTGCTTGAGGTATCCTTTATTCTTAGCCTCTCTTGTCCCTTTCCTGACCCAATCAGGTGCACTAGTACAGGCCGCAAATGTGACGGGTACGCCCAAACCAAGCAAGACTACCAAATCCAAGTGTTCAGCCACAATCAAGCATCCGGTTTCCAGAGTGCCATACCAACGGTTCCCGGATTCGGTGATAACATGCACGATCTGGAGTTCTACCATTATTGTGCTGGGCCCACTCTGGCCAGCAGATTCGACAACGAGTTCTGGTCGCGGATATCCCTTCAGATGGCCTACACGGAACCAGCAGTGCGTCACGCCCTTGTCGCTTTAGGGTATCTCAGTAGGCAGGAGACAGGCAGTTTAAAGCATGCTCGGCTAGGGTTTACGAACGGTGATAAACGCAAACTTTTTTTGCTTCACTACAACAAGTCTGTTAGGCATCTCGTTCACCGCATAGCTGAGCCGTCCTACTCACCCGAAATCGGGCTTGTTACTTGTGTTCTCTTCGTGTGCATCGAGTTTCTGCGGGCAGATTACCACACAGCATTCACACACATGAGGAATGGACTTAAGATCATTTCTGAGTTACGGCAAACACGCCAGACTGACTCGCCGATCCAAACGCCTGAAGGGATTCAAAGCGGTTCCACCACTCCAACGGATATGATTGAAGAAAAGCTTGTGCCAATGTTCATTCGGGGAATGGCATCTGCTCTCTTGTATGGTGTGAGTGTTGAGGACGACTTCGCGGTACCGTGTCCACTTCCGCAATCCTTCCAGGAGCGACGTTTCACTAGCATTCGTGAGGCCCAGTCTTCCTATCACGAGATACGGAACGCTGCTATCGTGTTCACCCGCCAAATGGCCATAAAGCTCATCCAGCTAATCCCAGTGACGGTGGAGGACTTTCTACGCCGCTATGGGATCCTGGAATGCCACCGCGCATGGTACGAGGCTTTTCAAGAGCTAGAATGCTCTCAGATATTATCCTTAGAGGACAAGGTCACCATTAGCGCCCTAAAATTATCCTACTACGCAACCTACATCTTCGCAGCCTGCGCAACAGACGTCCGTCAAATGTCCTTCGACGCCCATCTCTCCAGCTTCAAAGCGCTCCTGCACCACGCGAAAATCGTCTTTAATTTCATGGACCTTGGGAACCTCGAGGACCCCCAAGCCAAACCATCTTCCCGCTCCGCTGCTGCAAACTTTACATTTGAAATCTCCATCATACCCTCCCTATACTTCACCGCGACGCGCTGTCGGTGTCCCACCACCCGCCGCGAAGCCGTCTCTCTCCTTTCTCTCAATCCACCCCGCGAGGGCCTCTGGGACCCAGAGCAGCATGTCGTCGTGTCCAACCGTGTCATCGAGATTGAGGAGATGGAGGTAGATGAGAAAGGGTGGCCGACGGAGGAGATGAGGCTCTGGAGTACGGTTATCGATGCGAATATGGATCAGACTGGTGGCTTTTGGGTAGACTTTTTGCCGGCAAAGTGGGTTGGGAGCTTTGATGGAGAGGGAAGGCAGAGGCTAAGAAGTGAGTGGTTTGTTCTAGGGGAACCTTGGACGAGTCCTCCATCCCGATATTCAGATCCCCTGAGAATTATGTTTTCCCCTAACACAGCTCCTTTGCATTAATTTGTTAGGAACCCACTTTCCATTCCAAAGATCCTACTTGCGCTATTTATTTTTATACAACCAAAAAGTCTTGTTATTTGGACATATATTTGAGAAGATAGAAGGAGTCTTAGGTTTGCGTTTCTAAAAGTGTATCGCATCGCAATTTCTTTTATTTGATTTTCTTTGCAGCTTTACTACTTTCTCTATTGCTAATTTAATTGATATATATAGAAGTAAAAGTAGAGCAGAAACGTAATAATTATTAAAAATCTTTCTAAATATTTTAAGCCAGGTAAACTAAATAGATATAAAATAATCAACTAAACTTGTAAACATATGAATAAAAGACTAACAAAAGCTAATTTTTAAATAAAGCTACGAATAGAGATGCTAGAGTAGAAGATAGTGTTACGTGTACACCCCTACGGGACAACTCAGGCTGGCTCTTATCCGAATGTAAAGTCTCCGTTTGGAACATAGGTAGGGGATAACGACATTGGTCTGGGGCTGAACACAACATTGTCATGTAGGACGACCATGTGCAGCAAGCGATCACGTGACCAAAACAACTCTGTCGCTTTGCGCAGATAGGGGGCAGACTCCGTGACTTCACTTAGGAGAGCCCCGGAGTAAACCAATGGGAAACATTGACCGGTCAGACGAGGAGCGTGGCGTTGCAACTAGTGGAGGAGAGCGATATCATACCCATTGAGCAATAGACGACGCCGGCCGCAAGCTTTCTTGCAAAATATATCAGGAGAGAAGGTAGACAAACACAGTACGACGATATTAGAAAAGCGGCTCAAATCCACACCGCTCGTACTCGTGCGGGCAGCTGCATGCTTTCAACAACGAGACCAAGGTGTTCCACAAGTGCAACAGCAAAACGAAAGCCTGTTAGACTACGACGGAGGTCGTCTCCGGAGAGACGACGTCGATTCTGATAACGTGGCAAATCCCATTTAACCATTCCTCCCTGCAAGGTGATCAGCTGCAGACCTGTTGCTAGATATACTTCTTTGACCGGCAGTGGTTTCCCGAAACGCTTATTCGCAATCAAGTAGGACTGAGAACAGACGCAGGGCCGTAGACGCTATGAATGCGGGTGAAAAAAGATAGTGGTAGCGATGATTGTGAGTTGGAAGCTGGCGTCGAAGCTGGGTTTGAATAGAGTATTCTTATGCGAGGGAACTACTCATTTATCGCACTTAACTATCACCAATACAATCACGTTCGATATGCGTGGGCTTGTGCAGCTAGCCATGTGGATGCCCTGAGGGCCTTTGGTGCCACGGAGGGATTCTGTTTACGTGGAGACAAATTGTTCCTAATCGGAATGACATTAACGGATGTTCCTTATGGAATGAGGTCGGCTTGGTAGCAGATCCCTTGCTTCTAGTACGGCACTTCGAGCTCTTAGTGAATCCATTGATCCTGGGAGACCGGCAAATTCTGGGCAAGCCTACATCGATGATATATAAGACAAGGTCCTCTAAGCTACGTTACTGCATGACCCATCTGACTTACCAATGGCTCCAAATGTTCGATATTCTGAGAACAGCCAGTTCCTTGCTATCGGCAATGGGTTATGGTTGACACTTGGCTAGTTCTCAAAACCCAGTGTAGAAGAGTACGCTTGCAAGATGTGCAGAATTAGAAAGTGACACCGCTGCACACTGGGGACTGATGCAGGAACACAGCGCCCCAGGCGTTTCTTGTACTCCGAGTCAAGGTGGACGACGGGATCATCACCAAAATTGAGGCCATTACGGTACGAGCTGAGATGGAAGATCCAAGAGGCGGCATCATGACTCTCATGCGTCCACCGCTGCCAGTAGAGTAGTGCGGACACTCTCTCGGCCGCCTCAACCCAACATCCAACAGATCACCTCCAGCCTTATTCCGCCTGAATTGATGACTAAGTATTTAGACAGTCTGCAACAGCACTCCATCATAGGAAGGTCCTTCACCTGCAGATGCATCCGCCGCGATAGCGTCTTCCAAGGGAAGATCAGCTGTGGCGGGCAGGTGTTCGGCTATTGCGACACCCCTCATAGCCTTTACAATTCTACGGGCGCTACCCACGATAGCCGTATACTGGTTGCTGACTCCAGCAAGGGTGCCGTGATGGTGGCTGTTATGGTCGATAATATGGCTACGGGACTAAATCCTATGCCGCTAACTGCGACTGTGCCCAGTACATATATGGTACTACAACTAATTAAAGTGAGGAATGAAGCGGCACACGGAGCAGGGAGGAGGATTAAGTGGATGCCTTATGGTTATAGTTCAGTGTGGCCAGAAGTGAAGGATCAGGACGTACAGGGGTAGACCATTGTGGCCGTGCGGTCATCCAATCGAGTGCGCCTCCCCATGCTCTTCAACTGTATCACTTCTAAGCTTGTGGTAAGACAATGACCGGAAATTGCGACAAATTAACAGCAAGAGGCTGTGCTGAAAAAGTCCGCCATTATTGTATATTTACACGACTTGGGCTGGTATTGGAGCATGACATCGCATTCTTCGAGACTTGGGCCTTCCATAGTGCTGCATTGATGCGACAATATCGCGCCGCGACACACTTGCCAGTCTTCATTTTAACTTGGCCCCGATTGCTTTATTGCTGAACAATACACAATCTGATAGCAAATATGCGATCCGCTTCACCACAGAGACGGAATTGTTGCGCCAGCTTTTGGCGCGAAGGTCACCGCCAAGCTCGCAATGATATCCGCACTCGGTGGCGTAAGGGCGGCATCAGATTCCTCGTTGTAGTATGGTTTGCTGGCCTCTGCCTCAGCATCGCTATTCTTTCTCAGCTTGGCACGTCCACTCGCTCGATACCTAGTACCAATTTTCTAGCTTGCCAGCCCGATGGAGCATTTGATCTTTACCCCGAGTCGTTTCAATACTGGTCTGGGTCGGGGTTTTTTCAGATCACGCTCGGCCACGGCAATCTGTCTTTCACCCAGGCTAAAGTCATTGATATTGTTTGGGATGTTGTGAGTGCTTGATGCGGAATATCTCTTTGCTATTCTTTCTAGCTATTCAACACACGCACCGTTACCCCTCTCCTTTCCATCACCGCTATGAGTACTTTACAGCTAGCCTATCATCACAACTTGCTCTTTACCTACCACTTTTGTATACTTCTTCACCACGGTCCTATCATCCTCAAGAAGTTAGTCGATTTCTCTTAATGAGGGTCGGAGTTGACTAACGGTTTACGATGGCAGGTTTGCGGGCGTGGTGGTCAAGCTCTTATTGCAGTCACATCGTGGAAGGTGTTTGCCAAGTATGTGACAGTCTCTATGGAAGTTATGCCCGTTACATTCAACACCTATCGGACAGTATTCCTACAAAATGATTCACATGTGGTCGCTGTCCCACGCTTAGCTCGAGATTTCACACTCCGCCGTGGGTTGCGCTCGAAGATTGCAATGGTGTTCATGATTGCTACGATGATCTTCATCTGGAGCTTCCCAAGCTTTGCTGGTGCTATGACTGGTTATAGCGCGAACGTTAAGTCGTACGTGCTGGATGAGAGCGACAATTACATTCCTTTCGACGGCTTCCGCCCTGTATTATACGTTATTCACGACGGGTGGAGAATCGGCAAAACAGGTGATTATGTGATAACGTGGGACAGCCCCTTTGGTGAGGAGAATATCTTGAGTCCCATACCAAATTTCCGTACTAACATCCTTTGGGTAGACGAGCCAGTGCTAACGGTCGATGGATACTACCAAAACCATCGTTTCACATTTGGTACCTGGAAACATGATTGTGATTCTGGTGCATATACACAAGAAGTACATGAGCAGTGCCGCATACAGACAAACGTCACATCCTGTAAGCGGGAGATCTTTCTGAGTCAAGCTTGATTTAACTGCTGACATATTTCACTACAAGATGCTTTGACGTACGGATTTTATGGTCTCGCAAACGAACCCTCGAACTTCATAGGTACTGCCCTTAAACCTCCTATTCTGAATATTTCGGCATATTACTTGCCTTACGATTCTCTTGGCGCCTATTGGAAAGATCCAAGAACGCAGGAACAGCCTTTTCAGAATAGTTCACGTAATTTATGGTTTCACGGAAACAAGACATATAGCATTAATGATATAAAGTCCCGTGGCAGTTGCCAGACTATTGAGGTATTAGAGTCCTGCCTCATATCTACTGCTCAACTGATTGCTCAATTAGAACTACAAATGGGGGTTCTCCTTTGTTCAGCTCTACATCATGCTTGTACTATGCATGCTTTGGATCATTGGCGTTGTCACCATATCGATTCGATCGCATTTCACAATGAAGGAAAGTGGTCGGACAGGTGTGGCTGGGGAATTCAAAGCTGTACTAGAACTCGCAAACTCTATGAACACACAGCTCTTAGAAGCTGGAGAGACCAGCACGAAGGACATACTCATGCTGCCGGAATCCAAAGTACGCCGCCGTGTCACAAAGGATCTGCAGGGTGGATCGATTGCTTATGAAAAGTCGCTTCTCCCCAACCGCTACGTTAGTGAAGGCGATACTCAAAGCAGTTTCAAAAGTTTATTGAGAAAAGAGGCTTGGTGGGTCGTCTTAGTTCTTGCCTTGTTGGTGGCGGGTTTCTACACGCGTATCATGGGTCCCTATGTATTCTCTTGGGTCTTTTTTGGCCTCTCGGCTGCTCCTGTCCTTGCTATTTGCATTGGCACATCTGGTAAGAGCAGAGGAATTTTGTTTCTTTGGTTGTCTATTCTACTGGGCTTCATGCCCCTTCTTGTCTCCTTTGTGGTTAGCATCTAGTCTTTGAAACAGCAATATCCTTCGTACTAGAAAGGTGATTAGACTATTCCGCAGGGTAATTTGAAGAATAGGCTTCTGCTATTGCTAAGTTTTCTATATGGTGTAGAGTTGTGATGTCCTCTTGTTTCATCTGGTTGTATTCCTGAGACCTGGTGTTGGTGCAGAAAGATAGCCCGTAAGTCTAGTAAATGCCGTCTACCGTCTAGCAGGCGTCTAGCCTAATCACATCCCCTAAAAAAGTTTCCCGTCTCCTTATTGAAGCTACTGTGTCTAGAATCTCTGCTTGTTCAATTATAGAGTTAATACAGGCCAGCTGTGCCCTTGACATGATCAGCTTACCAAAGACTTGGGAAACGACGATGAGAGAAAAAGAGAAAAGAAGAGCAGCAAGGAGGAGGCACGTTACCCAGGTACGTTTTCTTTATCTTCCTCGCCAACATTTGCATCACTTTCCATTCCGAGAAGCAGCTTGTCCCTCCTCTCCCTCTAGTTACCCACACTTTCAACTTCGACAACACTAGGCAAGCTGTCTACTTCTCCAAAAGCCGTAATTATAGTAGGATAGTATCCTATGACAACTTCTTCACTGCTTAACCCTAGCTCCCTCATTGCACCTAGCGCCACCGCCAACACTACAGCAACTAGCACGATACGAAATCTTGAGACGTATTTCCAAAGCCCAATCGAGGTAGAGTGCGTTATTGCGTCACTCGTTCGAGCGAAGGCCATTATTTTGCTATAAGCAAATGTTCGTCTTCCTTCGGACTCCACTGCGGTACGATTTTGACGCCGCTGAACGAAAAAGAGGCCAGCCGTAGCCTGAGGTCCGATCGCACACATCACAACCGCTGAGAGTGCAGGGTTTCGCCTTGAAATGATGGCTCTCTGAAATTCAAAATTTGGCACCGCTATATTTGCTGTACAGGGAGGTCAATGGGTACGAGTGGATGTTATTGCTGTTCACTAGTAGGTTCTCAGGATGCTAAGCTTATTCACAGGTGACGCCACCTATTCTGGTTGATCAGACCTCATATCTTAACTCCCCCGCAAGGTCTCATCCACTCACCTATCGCGCCCTCTTGTCTCTAGATTTCGCTCTTTAAAGCTTTCCTGCCTCTCCCCTATCTCTAATTCACGCTTCCCTCTAAGGGTTCTTGATTCACGCTTTCCTGTTTCTGTAGACAGCCTCTCTGTGCACATGCCCCACCAGATCTACGTTCTTACCAATATTCCATCGAGGTAGACTGTTTTTTTTTTTTGCTCTCTTGCAAATTCGTGGATGACTCCAGCCTCGCAACCATTATCTGCACACCATCTCAATTCCGTCAGCTATTCTTCCCGCGGGTTCAAAAGTCACTCAAGGCTTTCTCTCTCTGCGCATTCCAAGCTTGAAATCCCTCTCACCCCCTCATCCCCTCATTTGTAGTGACTCATGTGTAGTGACTCACCTGGGTATACAATACGAATCCTGAATCCTGGAGGTCCCCGGAGATAGAGCGGCTATAAGTTTACCTACAAACTTGTCCAATTATGACAGTTTTAACAGCGTTCGGGTCACGATAACCCGATTGAAATATCTAAACACTTGTATCTTCTTATTTAGTCCACCCGCTTTGCCTTTTGTTCCTGTACATACTCGTCTCTGAACGCTCCTCGCAATATTTGGAATCTTAAGGTAGGCTTGGCTTTCAAGTCTTGATCCTTCCGACCCAACCTTGGAAAGTTTCCCCCAGCAAACACCATCAGGCCTGCGCTTGATCATGGCCAACAGCGACCCATTCAAAGTTCTCGTCTTCAGCAAGACATCGGCCTACCGACACGCATCCATCCCCGCCGGCATAGCCGCCATCAAAGCCCTTGCTGACCGCACGAAGCTGTTCACTGTAGAAGCTAGCGAGAATGCCGAGACCTCCATGACCTCCTCGCTCGAGCGTTACGCAGTCGTCGTGCTTCTGCACTGCAGCGGCAACTTTCTCGACACAGCGCAAGTAGATGCACTGAAGAAGTTCGTGCAATCTGGTGGTGGTGTTGTTGGCATTCACGGTGCAGCAGCGGGCTTATATAATAACGAGTGGTACGGCGCGTTGATTGGAGCGCATTTCGACATGCACCCAGACCCGGAGCCAGGCAGAGTGCTGGTTGAGCAAACAGGGGAGGGCATAATCAGTGTTGCTCATGGTAGAGACAATTGGATGGATGAATGGTATAATTTTCGTACGCATCCAAGGGAAAACAAGAACCTGGGGGTGTTGTTGAAAGGCGATACGACTTCATTCCAGGGAGGGAAGATGGGCGAGGATCATCCGCTTGCATGGTGTCAAGAGTTTGATGGGGGGAGATCGTTCTATACAGCGCTTGGCCATTTCGACGAGGCGTATGCGGACGAGTGGTATATGGATCAAATCTTGAAGGGAATTCTTTGGGTGGCGAAGCGACAAGCATAGATCCAGAGCTTCATGACTTGAGGGTGGTAGCTTATTAAAAACAGCAAGTCTGTGGTAAGATTCAAACATTTCTAATTGTTAGCGTTTGTACTAGATAAGGTAGGAAACCTAAAAGGCACGTGACCTTAAGCTAGTTTACAGTTTTGTAACAAGTTAGCATTTAAAAACTGTGTTACAACCTAATAAAATTAGCAGCTAAAACAGCGCAAAAGTATTTAAAGTAGTAAAAACTAAGAAGTACCTAACAGTTTTTATTTTACTTAAGTATAGCAAATTTAGAATCTTATTAAAAAACAAGCAAGAATAAAACACTTTACTAAAAATTAAGCCTTAAGATTAACATATTTTACAAGAAAGTAACGTACACTATAGGTAAGTTACTTACACACCTAAGCTACTTACTTTTACTAAGACTACACTAAACTACTTTTTTTACACTAATATATTTCTAATAACACTACTTAAATATACTTTAAAAAATATTTGTCGCGTATACTAAGAGCCTTGGCTGGGGCTCAGAGCCTGGGACTGGGGCTCGGAGCCTGGGACTAGGGGCTCAGAGCCTAGGACGCAGCTCGGGATTGGGAGATATTATGTTCTAAAGCTTAGTGTATATAAGGAGAGCCTTTAGCTCTTTTAGATAGCAGAGTTACTTTATCTAATCTTCTAAACAGCTACTGCTAGGCTATTTTATCCTCTACAGTTATAAGCCTAGCGCTTTAAGAACCTAGAACAATTCTTTTTATATAACTATAGCGCTAGTAAAAGCTGTTTAGAAGCTTTATTTTTTATTCTTACTTATCTTTATTACCTTTAAAGCCTATGTTATAGCTAATTAAAATGCTCTTGTCTTAACAAGAGCATACTAGCTTAAGGACTACATAAGCTAGCCTTTCTAGTTTATCTAGCTCTAGTTCTATGCTCTTAGCAAAAACCTATAGGACATAATTAATCTAGATAGACTAGACGCTCTAAATTCTATAAACAGCGCTCTAGAGATGCCTACACTTAAAGTAATTACTACTAAAAACTTACTAGAAAAGGCTAACATTTAGTACTAAACTAATATTACTAAGTACTAAGCTTAATTAAGCAACTAGGCTTTTTACGCAACATGTTTTTAGACAATCTAGAACTAGGTTAATGCAACTGTTGCACTAAAGCTTCTAAGACCTATAATAATACAGCTTATATTAGAGAACTAATCTACTTTATAAGCACTTATATAAGCCTTAAAATAAGAGCTAGCACTAATAAACATAAGCATAAAAAATTTTATATAAGTAAAGTATAAAGCTTACTTTACTAAGGTAAAGCATAGCACTATAACCTTAAAAGCTTAGTACTAGCAGTAGCACTTCTTATACACTAAAGTAAGGACCTATAAGATTCTTAACATAGAAGGCTAGCTTACTGCATAAGACTTTCTAGACGCCCTAGCTCTAAAGCTTGCACTAGACTAGGCGCGCTCTATGCACTAGAGGGTTATAGAGGCTAGCGCACTTAGTAAAAAACCTTTAATAATTTAAAAAATTAGTAAAATCTTTTTAATAATGCTTTAAAAGCACTCTTTATGTGTAAGCAACTAAAGTATAAGTATATTTATAATACTTAGTAAATAATTAGATAATAATTTAGCCTAATTTATTTTAGCCTAATTAGGCCACCTGTGCTTATATAGAGCTTTAAGGTAATCTCTTTATTTATAGAAAGTAGTAGACTGTAGAGACTTTATATTAGTAGTTACTAAAAAGCTAAAAAAGCTTAGTAAAACTATATGCTAAAAAATCTTTAAAAAGCTTAAGTAAGCGCAGCATAAAAAAGTAAAGGCTATACTACTTAAAAAAAGCTATATAATTCTAGATAAAGCTTTTTTTACTGTAAAAGCTATTAAAGAATTAGATAAGCTAGCATTTTTAGAAAGCATTATTACTACTGTCAGATATGCGCACCTACTGTCAAGACAGGAGGAACGTTTGACGAAAAGCGGCTACATAGTACGAGCAATAAGCTCGAACAGTATGTTGCTGCAAATTGCAGCATTTTGCAGCATTTTGCAGCATGTTGCAGCAAATTGCAGCATTTTGCAGCATTTTGCAGCATGTTGCAGCAAATTGCAGCATTTTGCAGCATTTTGCAGCATGTTGCAGCAAATTGCAGCAAATTGCAGCATGTTGCAAGCTGGTCGCGCATAGGGCTAGTGCGCGAGGGACTCGGATCGGAAAAACAAAAGCTGAGCAACACGAGTAGAGCAGAAAAAGGATCAATAAATTAACATAATTAATACAATTAATTAATCATCCTATACATCATATCTAAACCTATTATTTATCTTAGGAAGCCTAGAAACAGTGCTTTAATCTAACAATTAAGAGTCTCAGTGCCTCCATCGATACAAAATGGCCACCCAGCCTCCTCGAGACGCGACAGTCGTCCTTCGAGACCACACCGACTACAGAGCCTGGATAATGCAGCTGCAATTGAGATGTGTAGCGCACAGCATCTGGCCGCAAGTGGATCCTAAGTTGACCATCCAAATGATCTCCAAACCAAGAGCTCTAGAGATGCCGCTAATAGCTGAGTTTTCACTAGCCTTGAACGTTGAAACGCCTACGCACATAAATAAGCTATTAACAAGTGGTGTTAGAGCCTTTAAAGAAGCCATTAAATACTACAAAATTAAGGCTAACAAGTACAAGAGTAACAGACATAATTATAAAAGAGAGTAATTAAGCTTCTAACAGATTATTGTCTTTATCTAGTTAACAGTTAGCCCGCATCTGCAGTGTACATGCTGTTCCCTAGATTAACTACTTAGTAGATTACAAACCTTAAAGCTATAGTAGGTGTTAATAACTAATTTAAACAAGAACACATGCGCAACTAATATAATGCATCTTTAAAGCTGCTAAGAAACGTAAGCATATAGAACCTATAGCTAGCAGAGTATAATTACGCTGCTATAGAAGCAGAGACACAAAATGTTCTAGAAACAACGTAGTTTAATGCTGTAGCAAAGAACTTTCTAACTACTATAAATAAAGTTGCCTCTTATTAGTCTACAACTTTTTAGAAAAGTAGACAGTTTACACTAAACATAAATTAAAAAAAAATAATAAAGTGCTTTTAAAAACACATAATGTTAAATTATCTAATATGTATAAAAAAGCATAAAGCTGCTTTTACAACAGATAACTTGTTATACCTTACTAAAAGTAAGAAGACTACTTAGGGCATAAATAGAAATGCCTGTAGTGCAAAAGTTGTAATGTTAAGAAAATAGAGTAGACCTTAATATTAATATTATTAAAAAGATAACAAAAAGTTATTTTTAAGCTAGAAACCTGCTAAAACAGGAGGCACTAAATGTCCTGCATGCAGACACATCTATGCACTAAAGGACTGCTTCTATGTCTATCTAGATAGAGCACTAGACTAGTAGATGCTAAATAAAAGAGTTAAAAAGCTTATAGTATTAAAGCGCAAGTATAACTTAGAATTTTAAGGCCTACTTAGAGAGCAGTGTAGACATAATTTAAAGATACTAATTCTAAAAAGTTTACATACACCTATGCTAGAGATATAAGAAGACTAACTTAAAAGCTAGAAAGTATTAAAAGTTAAGGCAGCTATATTACTAGCTATAGCTAATTTAAACTAGAATAAATATCTACTAAAAGAATTATTTATCCTTAACTTAGGCTTAACATGCTATATTATAAATAATCTTAATTAAATCTATAACTATTGTTTACTAACACTAGAAAACTTTATCTAGTCTAGAAACTCTTAAGTATAGATTTAAAGCTATAGATTAATTATACTAAGCCTAAAAAGTAAGCATAGAACATATAGTTAAGCATATAGTCTTGTACTACATAACGCTACACTATGCCTAGACCTGCTGTGCAACCTAGTCTTGTTCTGCCTACTATAACAGAAAGAAATCTAGTAGAACACATAAGCAGAGCTAACTGCTTTAAAGGCCCTAGATAGGATAATAATTAAAAATCTTATAAAAATCTATAGCTAATAGGTGTTAGAGTACTATCTACTATAGAAAGGCTTATATTATACACATATAATTAACATAAGAACTAAACATAGTTTATAAAAGGCATTAGCAGAGCTATAGCATAAGCGTCTAGGACACTCTAGACTAGCTACACTTTAACACCTTATATAGTAAGCTAAGGGGGTGTAAATTAAAGAAATTACAATAGTCTAATGTAACTTATGTAGCAGAGCTAAAATATAATAATAAATTAGCTGTGCACTATAAATTAGCAATAGTAGACCTAGTAAGAGACTATTAATTAATTTCTATGCATATAAAGCATAGAGCATTATAAAAGAGTAGAGTTAAATGCTAATTACTAATAAGTATTCTAGCCTCTAGTAGAACCTTTACTTTAAGAATAATAAGCTTACTAAATTAATTATTAAAGCTCTTATAATTTTTTTTTTAAAGAACTATTATAATATTACTATAAAAGTTATTAAAGCTAATAATAAGATTATAACAGTAAAACTAGAGGTTAAACGCTAGCTAGCATTACATAGAATAACTGTTAAGCCTTTAGCACTAGATACACAAGCCTAGAACAGAGGAGCTAAACACTTAGAGGGTGTAAACAAGAAGAAGTTACAGGCTATGCAACTAGATGCTAACCTACTATAGAACATATAGCTATACATTACTAGAGCCAGCGTATACCTATACAATTAGACGCTAAACTATGCTAATAACTAGAAGACACTATATAAGATCTTTTTTATATAAGCAGCTTTAAATAATAAAGTTGTTATGTTAATTTAAAAGCTAAGCTTTACACATTTAAAAGCCTATAGCTGTAAAGCATTTGTAATAACTAATAACATATATTAAAATAAATTTAACCTATAAAGGCTAGACCTAAAGGCGTAAATTAGATATCTAGTTGTCACGATTGTGCACGAGTAAGGTTATAGAGCTTCACAGAGGTCTAGTTCAATTACTACGTGAGGTATTATGGTAGGTACAAGACGTTGTGTGAGGAACAGGAAGGTTTAAAAGGAAATTAGTAATTAAATACTTAGCTTAAAAGTCTAAGCGCTTTAGGTATAAATTAAGCCTGTTCTAGGTTTAGTTAGTGTTAAAGTAGTTTATGCTTAAGTTTATATCTATGTTATGTTGTGTTTATGTTAGACGTGCACTAATAATACTC